GTGGAGAGAGAATCCCATCATTATATCAAAACAGTATAGAGTGATCTTACTAAAATTGGTTGCCTGTCAACAATGGCATAAATTTGGGATTGAGATTGTAAATCAAATGAAGAGAACCAATACTGGGAAAATACCACATTATGCAGGATTTCTTTGACAGCATGAGCTTTAAAACTTGAAGAATGCTAATAATTTCAAATTGTATTAGAACATCATCTAGTCTTTCCAGCTAAAATTCACATTCACTGGTCAGTATATTGACATTGTCATCTTTTATTAATTGATTCAAATCTGACATCCTTGAATTAATGTTTTATATCTGGAATCATGAATACTGACCGAAAATTTATGAATACAACAATATGAGAGGATGTCGAAAAGTTCTTAACCTGACCAACTTCCCAGCTCATTACTGAATCACTGTAACTAGAAATATATTGCAAATTGCAAGATCCTTTTTTTTTTTATTTGCTTCAGATCATTGACTGAACTATGCCAATGAAAAGTTAAATATTTTTATGGGTTGAGCTCCAAGACATCATGAAGATCCTGTTTCTGCAAATGGAAACCCCAAAGAAAATTTGTGAGTGTATGACATAAACATTGCATAATGAGTGTCACACCTGCAAAAATCTTGAGAGCCAAGATGCAGCAGAGTCAAGGAGGCTTTCAGTGGTGTGTCAACTCCTGAGATTGTTCATCATGTTTATATCTTAATTTTAATCTGTTGGTGGTTCTTGGTCAAGAATTGCTGAGAGACTAGAGTTACTTAGGGAATGTGTTGAGTATATAATTCATGAGTAATTCGCTATGCAGAGATTGTCAGTTAAGTAAGTGCCAAAATGTTTGAACACTGATCAGAAATAATACTAATATTGCCAAGTAGATTTTGCTGTATTTTTATTACTTTGGTGATAGCTTTTTGGAATAACTTGTCACTGTTGATGGAACATGATTAAATAACTATGATCCATAGATCATGCATTTAGCAGTATTTAAGTTTTCTATGGAAAAAAAAATTTAAGACCCAAAAGTCAGCAAGAAAGTAAGACCAAATAGTTAATAAAGAATACTCAAACTTGCTGGGATGGTAAAGTTGAAAACAGGAAAATTGTGGAAATGTGATTGTTTTTGACATCTACTCACTGGGCTAATAAGACAATGAATGTTATGAATAATTTGTGGTTTGATGTCATAGGCCATCCACTCAACTCATCAGATTTTCTCTATTTCCTGTTTACAAAATTCCTTTTACATGTGAAAGTGAAGAAAATTTTGAAGGTCACAGCAACAGCAGTATTTCAATGACCAAACTTCAGAATTTCTTTTGGAAGGATTAATGAAAAACACTGTATCAAGACGAACTGCAAAATGTATAGAATAGTGTGTATGTTTGATGGCTTTAGGTCATGTTTTTTTGAGGGGTCAAGAACTTTTCAACCTGTGCTTCATATATGATAGAGATACATTTCCATCTGGCATTCCCATATTGATAGAAAACAAAAGTCTATTAGTAGAATAAGGTGCTACTATGGCAACCACTAACTCAGGGCATCCTGGTAGTAAACCATGCCTTATCCCAGGGTCATTATCTGATAAAGGCTTTGTTGGCAGTTCAGCTGTTGTTTTTGCAGCTGCATATGAAATTATACTAATTATATAAATATGCACACCACATACATGTGCAGATTCACATTTGTATACATGATTATTTATACAAATACTTTTTTTATAATTGGTCAACAAGATCTGTTAAACTTTTTATAACATTTTCTAGTTGATATATAAATTGTTGTACATTGAGAGCAAATTTATAAAAACAACTGTGAAAAATTCATAATGTTTTTTATTCAAATATTTTCAATCATCTGTAAACATCAGGACCATTTTTAGGAATATTTAATTAAATTGATTTTGTTAGCCAATTTTAGTAAAACTTGTTGAGTGCTAGCTGTTTAATATATAATTAATACATTGTTTATTTATATGTATGCCCATAGGCACATAAAGATATGTGTGTGTGTGTATGTATAACAATTTTCAGTTGGTCATATCATAAAAAAAAATGTTAACCCCTTTAAAACCATCTCATCTTGGTCAGACAGAAAAATTTTGAACATCAAATTTTCATTGCATAGTTTATTTGAGAAAGTTAATTAAAGGAATATAGATTTTGCTTAAATGGTTACATAATATATATGAGGAAGTGCTAAAACATTCTCAGCATGTCCAAGATACCATTGCCCACCAAAAACAAAATCTGATATTTGATCAGATTCTTGGAAGCCAAGAATTTTTAAGCAACACCTTATAATTCAGAACAGTCATAGTTTTATGGTTGTTAATAAATGTATCAAGAATATGTTATCATTTTTATAAATTTCATCTATATTATTTTTAGCAGGAGTTCTAAATTCTTAACTCAAATAAGTGATCAATGTTATGAGAATTAATGAAGATAAGCCACTGAAATAAAGAATGAAACATTAAATCTTGAAATTGAAAAATCAAGTTATATTTGATTGATTATTGTTACATCAAGCAAATTCATTTTTCAAATAATGTCCAATATTTTAAACATGTATTTTATTGAAATAATCAAGTAACACATGAAAAATCTGCAAGGGAATATATGAATGACTGAATAATAATCAACCCTCAAAGCTGCTTTAAATTTATCAATTCACTGAAAATAAAATTTTGTTGGTCAGTAAATGAAAAAGTCAGTATAGCAATATTGAGATTATAGATTCTCTTAAGAATTTGTAGTAACCAAAATTTTAAATAAACATGCAATACAAAACAACAATACCAATACAAAAATATATATATATTGAAGGCATCATAGAAATAAACTGAACTTTAAAAAACAAACAATAATGTAAATATTGAAGTCTAAAAGATAAACAATAAAAAAATTAATTACTTTATAATGATTATACAAACTTTTAAAAATAGACATTTAAAAATAATATTCTGAATAAAAATTTATTTTTCTATTTATCTTAGATTTGTTTAATTCTATTTACAGTGTCCTTACTAGTAACAAGTAAAATCTAAATATGTTGACAATTGTTCCAGATATTTTAATAATGAAACTAATTTATTTAATTTTTTTTGTAGAGTTTCTTGTGTATTTATTATGATACAATAGAAAGAAAAATCAAAAAAGAAGAAAAATACATAGCAATAATTCAACAATATTTTTAAAGTTTATTTATAACAATCAATAAACCTAGTTATCTCTAAGAAAATTTGATTCTCACTACAGAAATGAATGGAAGGGTTTCCTTGACAGAAGTCCCCCATTCTATTTTATTAATAGTTTTTCTGCTAATTTGAGAGATGATTTAATAAACAAAATAATCAAAAGAGATGTGTCTTCAAGCAAAAGACAGGATTTTAAAGTCAATCTTTGGGTTTACCTGAAAACTAATGCATATATAATCTTTCTTCATTCATTAATCCAAAACTGTCTCTAGATGACAGACTGTGTTTGAATTACTTACCCTGTGTGCTAAACTCCAATGAGACAACAAAAATTGTACATGAACTTACTCACCATCTTTTTACTATTTAACTAATTGCAGGAATAATGCAGGAACTCTGCAAACCAGACCCTGAATAACCTTATTTAACCAAATAAGGTTATTCAAGGTTTGATTTACACGTTTTGGTTTGTAGATTAATGGTAACATGGTAAATCCAGTAATTCGCAAAAAAAAAAAAAATTCATTCAATAGTTTATCTTGTCTTCTTAATCATCAAGAAAAAATGCTGAACAAATTTTTTATCCAACAAAAATATTCTCATCCATTTTACCTCTTTCTGAAATGCAAGAAATATTCAGAGAACAATTTGTTTTTTTGAATGCAAATCCCTGCACCAAACTACAACCAATAGTAATTTCATTCAAAATTGGTTTTATATATTACTCCCACTAAGAACTTACATATATATAGGCAATGTTATATTATTCTCATAAAAACATACTAGTGTTTTAATGTTACAAAATGAAGTTACGTACTTTCATTATTATAAAGACTATTAGGACTTACCTACCTACTAGTAAAGAGTATATTTACACATTTTACTGTACACAGAAAGTAAGCAAAATGCTTAACAACCAGATATAAAGCATTGTTGCCTTGTGGTATAAAGTTTTCTCCTTTTGTCCACTAATTTATAATTGTTGTAAATATTCAAAATGTGAATACTTATCTTTCTTTACAATATCAAAAACACATCTAACAAGATAAACAGATGATTTTGTGTTGTTACATCATATTGTTAGTTGCCAAAAAAGATCCATTCTCAAAGTATATGAATTAGTAAACTAACAAATCTTGTAGTAGAAATTATTATAATCTATTTTATTATAATGAGTCTTATTCCTCTTTTATTTTCCTTCTGCAATGTACACAGGACAGATTTGTTAAATATGAGAAAATTTTCCATATTAGCAAGTCTGAAATAGGCAGTAGAAATTATAGACATTTTTTTGCATTAATATTTTTAGATTATTGATATAAAAACAGAAGTATATTTTTAAAAAATCAAAACAAGAAGAACCTGAAAAAATGTCTGCATATAATGAAAATATTGGGTATAGTCAAACTAAAAAAATCAAATAAAGACAAAATATGATTTATACATTTTAAACTTTGCATACTGAATATGCCAACCTGAGATTATATACAAATTAAAAATCTGATTGAGTATAAAAGTTAAATTCAAATTTGTCATGCAACATCTAACAATTTTATTCAATTTAATGTTTAGTTTATAATTTAAAGTTAAAAAGGCAAGTTTGCTGAACTCTCATATTTTTATATTTTGAAATTTTTTCAGATGTATACAATTGAATTTTTGTTCTCAATAAATCTAAGCTCAGCACTTTGTTATAGAGTAATTAATCATATCAGTTGTGTGTGTGTGTATATATATATATATATATATATATATATATATATATCATAATATTGTTGCTTATAACTTACTTCAAGATGCTTCATGAGAACTGCGACGACAACATTCACAAGGACAAACTGTGCCATCAACACAAAGACCACAAAGTAGACTGGAGCTATAATTGGACTGACACAGCAGTTTTTCTCACAGTCATCTGATGCATCACAATCTTCTCTCAAGGTGTCCTAAAACAAAAAATATGTATGAATCAATTGGTAATGACAATAATAATTCACTCTTTTGGCATAGTATTTACTATGCTGAGATATTTTAATATTTTATCTATTGTGTGAACATAAATTCTGAAATACAGTTATTACTGAAAGTCCTTTTAGTAATAACTATGCTAGAATTTATGTTCACACAATACAGAAAATATTAAAATATCTCAGTATAATAAATACTATGCCAAGTGAGAGACTATAGTTGCAAAAATAATTATATAAAATTAACATCAACTCAGCAATTATCAGAAAAATTAAAAAATATAAGATAAAGGTGATAAATACAGGTGGATGTAGAAAATTTCTTGGACCAACCAAGAAGGGATTAAAAACTTCTGATGTTCAGTTAGAGTTTGGTAAGTGGGTTAGGCTGAGGACTTTTCAGTACCCTCTCATATAGATATGATAAATATAGAGTTAAATAAATAAATACTATAGATTCAAATGGAAACCAGAACAGGAGTTTTTGCCCTTTAACTTCTCAACTATTCATGTTTAACAGCAGAGTGCAGAAGGAGTGCAGAGGGTGGGACAACCCCAGGCATCCATATCAGGAGGGCATCCAATCAAAGAGTGAAATTCAAATTTAGTTTATATTTGAATAAAGTGTTTATTTCAGGTTTCATATATTTTTACATATTTAAAATGTCTTCGTTTCCCACATTTCTCAATACTAGGCCTTATAGGTCCCTCTACTTGAGTCTTACAGGCATACAATAAAGGAGTTGGCCTTTGGCATCACCAAACCTCTGCATATCATTGATGTTTAATTCAAGTGATTTTTCAGTTTTAATTTGCTATCAAAGAAGACTCACATATCATATTTACATAACTTACCTTAGATTCTCAACCTCTATTATTAACTATTTATCTTTCAAATCTATTGTTTTTCATAAACAAAATTCATTAAAATGATTTGAAATGAAAAAAAAACAAAACCCAGTTAATAAATTAGGTGCTTTTATATTAAGATAAAATATTGGATACATAATCAGTCATTTATGCAGTTAAAATATTACATTAACAATAAAATTAATGCTAGGAATAAAAAATGGGTAATTTAATAAATTTATTAAATTATGGCTCCTATTTACTAATTTTAGCATAGAAAGACACAAAGTAGGTAGAGAAATTGATAAGCAATGGAAAGACTATGTTGTGCTAATTTTATAAATGGTATAAAATTTATAAATTGATATAAAAGCAATAAATTAATAGAAAACTGATGTTAATAAATCAAAGTTAATTTTTAATTTTTTTTTCTAATTGTTCATTTAATACAAGTCACATGAACCACTCAAGGTAGAGGGTTATTGACTGAGATTATTGATTTTAAGAAGAGGAGGTAATAAGTGCTGATTAAGAGGATATGTAAGAAAGAAAGATATTGGTTGCCAAAGAGTACAGATTGTAGTGATTGGTTATGCATCTTTCTGGGAGTTTGTTCTACGAAACAGCAGTTCTTGGAAAGAAGCTGTCTGAATGAACTTCTTTCTTTCTATTGAAATACAAAGAGAATGGTTTGTTCCATTGTACATGGTATGACATGTTCTAGATGTGAAGGTTATAACTAGTGGAACTAAAGAATGTAGCTTGCCAGAACATTTGCCATGGAAATAGCAATAGAGTAGTGAGATACTTGCAACATTTTGCCTGTAGAATAGGAGTTGTAGAGTAGAAAATAATTAATTGCCTACAAGGTTGTGGAAATGTTTCTGAACTCAATCAAGGCTGGAAATTGACTACTGGGCAACTCCATCCCAGATATGACAGCAACACTTCTTTTTGGTTTGATCTGGCTCTTGAAAAGATAGTTATATTACTTACTTTCATAATTCCATTCCAATTATCTCCAGTTGCTATTTGAAATAAGGTGAGGAATGCCATTCCAAAATGTCTAAAATGAGCATGGTCTCCTAGTCCTTCACATGGATGTTCTTCAGAACAATCTGAAAAAGAAAACAAATATAAAACAGGATGAATCCATATAATGGTTAGATGGCTTCCATCTTGGATTTAACATTTGAAATTATATCAGAGATGATGTGTATAATTCTAGAAAGAAACATTCTATGCAATTAAATTGATGATTTATAAAAAAACAAATTGCGTGTTACAGTGTTTTGCCTACACCATCCTGCAACATATTGACATAGAATAAATCTAGACTTAATAGGCTACCTGACAAAGAAAAATAACCAACTACTCAAGCTGATCAGCTAGCATCATGAAGCAAAGAAACTGAATTCTCTCTACAAAATGGCATGCAAACTAGAAACCAGGTTTTAAGTAGATAAAAAATAAATGATCACCCAAATAGGAGCAACTAAAAAAGCCAAGCAATTGAAATTGGTTGTTCAGAGAACCAGGGGTCACAGATTAAAATAATTTGGTTAATTAAAAAAAAAAAAATAACCCAGAAAATAATATGCCAGAATCCAAAAGTCTTATACCAACAAGGAGAAAACAGCAATGGTTGAGAAGTTCAGGTATCAAATCAGAAAGTGAAGAGTTTGCTGCTCAGGATCAAAACCTTGCCATCAGGTATTATTGAAATTTGATCCTGCAAAAGGAAATAAATGAAACTTGCCAAATATGTGGCAAATATTTAGAAGGAATATATCATCCTTCCCACTCAGAATTAACAATCTGGATTTCTCAGAAAGAATGCTAACCAAGTGAAAAGATTGTTTAAGAATAAGCAAAGAAAAAAACCATGAAGTAGAATATTAATGTAAAATAAGAAGAATAGAAACAAGTAGAGAGCAATTCTAGATGTCCCCAAAATCAATATTTCTCTATCCTAAGAAATCAGATGAGAAAGAAAAACTAAATTCAACCAGATTTCATTACAACTCATTGTATTTTTTGTTCAATAGTGGTAAGGCAAAACACTAATGAATTAGGAAAAAGATTTTTACAGAATAAAATACTAATAAGTAAAGAAAAGATAATTATGAAATAGAAGCAACTAAAGATAGAAACATTATTGGAAACAAACATCAAGAAACAAAAAGAAAATATGCTGTACATCTAAGTCTCAAATGAAATAAACATTACTTTCCACACAATAATGGTTGTAACAAAATTTATTTTTACTTTAAAACCTTAAACAATATTAAACTAATATCTATTGTATATATATATAATACCACAGTAAGGTTTAATAATTCATTAAGACACTAAATAGTAAGAATCTAAGAATATATGTAAATACTGTTTATTTAATATATATTGATATTGATAAGTTTAATACAACATGGATCTTGCTGAAAGAATTATATAATACTTCAGTGAGATAATAATATTCTAATTTCATTCCTTATGAACATTTTGAGAAATATCTTTAATAATATAACAATTTAGTATCTTTTTTCTCAGTGTATACAATGACAATTAAGTTGATATCTATTTTCAAACAAGAATTTTTATTTAATGATAATTATATCATTAAATAAAAACTCTTGATTGATAATAGATATCTACATAATTGTCTTTGTATACAAGAATATTTTAATATGCAAATTAAATTTCAGTGGATTTGTTATTGACAGATTTTTTTTTACTCTTAGTGATCCCATTTATCATCTTTTATAGGATATACCACCTGATATGATCTTTATTTTCAATCCAAAGTGACTTAGACATGTTCAATTAGATTAATGTCAGAAAACTGACTTGGCCATGGGAATGAAGTCTTTTGGTTCTCCTGTTCTTGGATCTTATTTTATTTGCTGTATATCAAATAGCTTAAACTTCTATGAAAAAAAAAATGCTGATTTTTTCAAGTAACTAACCATCAGTAAATATTACAAGTTTTAAGTAACCAACCATCAATAACTATTAAAAGTAACTAACAATCAGTAACAATTAGAAGAACTGTTAGCAGATTAGATATATATTTTTCTGAAATGATTTTCCCACACATCCCAGAAACACTCTGAATGACTAGTGTTCCAAATTGTTCCCTACACTACAATGTATCAATCTGCCATATTTGATAGCAGGTTGCAGGTGGTTCAACAAACTTCTTATTTGCTCTTCAAAAATTGAACAAATGATGAATCATCTGAAAAGATGACAGTGAAATAAAGCTTCATGGTTTTGTCAACTATTTTAATTGCTCACTATTTTCTCTGCTGAATACTGATTAATTGAGAAAATGTTTTTTCTTCTGACTTCTCTGTCATAATAATCCATATGACAAAGGCATACTATCATTATTTTTGAGCTGGTTTCAACATATTCTGCCACATCTACTGCCTTGCAAAAAAAAAATTGTTTTCAGTTTCCTATCTCATATAAAGACACTTTTCTGGTGACCCAATTTGATCTGAACAAGACTGGTTTTGTTGATAACTTTGTGAAGAGTCAGTAACAATCTAAATTTTGTTCAAACTTCTTTGTTCTTGATGTTACCACAATGTTTCCACTGATCCATAGAATTCATAATTTCAATGCTACTTGATGCTAGCTCATTTCATCTTCTAACAATCTTTTGAAGAATGTGTTTGTTTCATATTTGATTTTAAAATAAGGTGAGTTATTGTTAATGAATATATTATTAATATTTAGAATGACATTATTCACAAGTATTACTTCCCCTACCATTGTATTGCAGAAGCCAAGTTCTCAATTTCAGTTAAGGCTGTTTTCACTGTTGCCATAGAAGGACATGACAACACAACCATGCAATTATAATTCAGCAATTGAAGATGTCTGCAGTGGCAGGACAAATATTTTGCATGGAGAACAAAGTTGTCTACAGAGTACAAAAGGTTAAATTTCAAATTAAAAATAAAATCATAATGCTGATATAGGCCATTTCTTAGTAGAACAAAGAGAAATTAGGAAACTTCTGACAAAAATTAAAATAATATTTAAAACCAGATTTTTTCCTTAATTTTATAACTGAAGTAATTTTCAGATATCTGAAAATTGTTTTCATCTTCAATTTTTTTTATTGTATGTGTGTATGTATACATATCCTATAAGCAGTTCTGGATTTAGGCTAAACAAGCTATAATATATTTTCAATAGAATTATATTTAATAACTGATTCTACAATTATTAAACAAATCTTATTTAATATATTAACAAAAAATAAGATAAAATATGATGTTGATGTTACCTTTTGGGAATATTAAAGTATTTTAAGAATTTAAATTCAAAATAATTTTAATATTTTGATACTATTAAATAATTTAAACTCATTAAGAATATTGGTTGTAAGTTTAAAAAAATAATAAGTGATACCATGTAATAATTGATTTATATTAAATTGTTTGGAAAATAAGAATGAAAGAATTTAAAAAATTTAAGGTAAGAGTTAAGAGAATTTATGAAGAGAAATTTGAAAAATTCATTATAAACATATCAAATTTCAATGTTTTCAAATATATAAACAATTTGAACAAACTTACCTAATCTGCCAAATAACTCAACTCCTAATGCAGCAAAGATAAAGAATAGCAGAAAAAATAATAGGCCCAGATTTCCAACTTGAGGCAGAGCTTGCATCACTGTATCCAGCAAGGCACGGATTCCTTTTGCCATTTTTAGCAGTTTCAAAACTAGAGAAAGAAAATATCAAATGATTAGTTAACAGGAAAATGGATTTCATATTATTTAAAATGGTTTGGTCTTCCTTAGTTTTTATTAATCATTTGACTCCAAGCAAGACAATAAAGCCATTAAGATGGAAGAAGTTACTGAGTGTTAGAGAATATGAGAAAAAGAAAACATTATTAAGGCAAGAAAACAATAAAAGAACAGGTATTAAGAAGACAAGTTAACAATTTGCATTGCATTTACATTCTTGAAATTTGTTTATACTAGGAGGCAACAGCAAGGTAAGTTTAAATTGATGTATTACAATATTTTATCATTTAAGCAATTGGGATTTCTGAATCCATCTTAAATTCTTCAAATAGTATGTGTTAGATGAAAAAGATCAAAATCTATTAATCTAGGGTAGAAGTTTCAATAAGGCTATCACAGACAGTAGTTGAAAGTGTTACATTGTTTAAAATTTAAATATGAAAAATGTTAAGATCCTCAAAAAAAAAAAAAAAAATTAAATAAAAGCAAATAAAACGTGAATCAACCTTTTTTCTTATGTAAAGCAGGTTCACTGGAGAATGACCAGACAAAATCAATTCATGCTGAAAGTTATTACTATTAGGTTGGTGCAAAAATAATGTCGTTTTCTCACATATGTTACTTTTATATATGATTTCTGAATTAATTAATTGATATATATAGCCATGTTATATATCATTTTGAATCATGTTATTCGTTCCCGTTCTCAATATCTTCATTCATTTTTTTGCAGGCTTTTCAACAGCATGGACAAAATTCAAATCCGCACGATTTTCTTGTTCCAGTTCAAACTAGGCCTAAAAGCTGCTGAGACAGCTCGTGATATCAATGATGCATTTGGCCCAGGAACCACTAACGAACGTGTGGCACAACGGTGGTTCAAGAAATTTCGCAATGGTGATGAGAGCCTCGAAGATGACGACGGTCGCAGCCAGCTGACTGCGGTTGATAACGAACATTTGAAAGCCTTAATTGAAGCCGATCCTCGCAAAACCACACGAGAAGTTGCTGTTGAACTTGAAGTTGACCACTCAACAGTCGTTCACCATTTAAAGCAAATAGAGAAGTCAAAAAAGTTGGATAAATGTGTGCCGCATGAATTGAAAAAATCGTCGTTTTGAGGTGTCTTCTATGCCCCTTCTGCGCAACAAAAACGACCCATTTCTCGAGCGGATTGTGACGTGTGATGAGAAGTGGATCCTCTACAACAACTGGCGACATTCGGCACAGTGGTTGGATGTCAGAGAAGCTCCACAACACTTCCCAAAGCCGAAATTGCACCAAAAAAAGGTTATGGTGACTGTTTGGTGGTCTGCGGCCGGTCTCATCCATCACAGCTTCTTGAATCCGAGCGAAATGATTACGGCGGAGAAGTACTGCCGACAAATTGACGAAATGCACCAGAAGCTCCAACATATGTGCCCGAGATTGGTCAATATGAAGGGACCAATTCTCCTCCATAACAACGCTCGCCCGCATGTTGCTCAACTGACCCTGCAGAAGCTGAACGAATTGGGCTACGAGACTCTGCCTCATCCGCCATATTCACCAGACCTCTCGCCCACCAATTATCACTTTTTCAAGCATCTCGACAACTTCTTCCTAAAAAAAAATGCTTCAAAAGCCGAGATGATGCCGAATCGGCCTTCAATGACTTCATCGCTTCCAGAACTCTGGATTTCTATGCTAATGGGATAAATAAACTTGTTTCTCATTGGCAAAAATGTGTCGATTCTAATGGTTCTTATTTCGATTAATAAAGTTTATTATGAAAGGAGTTATGATCTTTTGAAGTTGAATGTCAAAAAACGACATTATTTTTGCACCAACCTAATACTTAAAATAACATTTGATGTTGAAAGTGTCATAACTATTCTTTTCTTTATATAGAAAGATCTATTTGACTTAACTTTCAAATATGGGATTATATGGTTTCTTTTTTCCCTTATATTTTTTTTAAATAAAATTTCCATAGATTTTCATGTTTGTTAAAATTTACCTCCAGGTAACACCAACATTTCTCCACAAAAAAAAAAAAAAATTAAAACAAAAAAACCCTCAACTGCACTGATTCTACAAGTTAAGAGTTATGGGATCCAAATTATGGGAAAAGCTCAAGGAGTAGACTAGCAAAGGTCTTCATTGATGAATATAGACAACACTGGAATAAAAAAGGAAGAACTGTGTAGATTCATGGATGATAGAAATGGTTGGAAAGAAGTTATAAGAAGTATTTCTTCTAGGATGGTCACAGAAATGATGTACTCTTGTAATTGTTTTATTTTTGTTAATAATTATTTCCCACTATAATCTGTTTACTATTTATTCTTAATATATGTTTCCTTTTTAAAACTTTTAATATATGCTTACATTTTTTTAATTAGGAGTGACATATGGCATATATATTTAAATGGAGATGTAAATCAAATTGAATAAGATAGTTTGCAAAACTAATTTGCTAATTAAATTTACACCCAATTAAAATGAGTATTTATTTCTACTTAGATCCTAAATTGATCATTTTAGAGGCTGAATAAAATTTGACTGTTCAACAGATATAATTCTATTTGTTCTTCCATTAGTTAATAAGTTAGCATGTGCATTACACCTTGTTACTACCTTGGATAAATAATGAACCATTCTATTTTCATTGTTAAGAAAGATGAAAGAAAAATATGTCTGTTGTTCCAGTGTTTAAGAACTAGGGTGAACCATCTGACCCTTTCAAATATTGGTGTATTAACCTTCTACCTCTTTTTGGTGAACTGAATTAGTTAAGCATCTCACAATGTAGGGCCTTCTTTTGACTTTCGTTTAACTAGGTCAACTGCCGATGTATTAATGATTATTGCAGAAAGAGTCTATCTTAATGAATGGGGAAGACTTGATAGACTCTTGATAGAATGGTGAAGCTCAGGCTCAGGGTTTGGCATGCTGGTTTTCTTCACAATTTGAAATGTTATGGTGTCTCTGGACAAATTTTTCAACTGATTCAATCTTTCTTATCAAACCTTAAAATGAAAATTATCTTGAATGGTCATTCTTCTAGATCCTGTTGTACTAATGCAGGTGTCTCCCAGGGCTTCATCTTTGGTCATACTTTGTCTTTAAATTTCATTAATGACTTTCCTTATGACATCAGCTCTCAACTTGGTATCTACGCTGATGACACAACCATTTACTCTTGTCTTAATACTAAATCTGATCAGTTTGATAAGGCCAAATTGGTGGCTGATCTAAAAAACGACAGTCTGTTGTTAACTGGGATAAAGAATTGCTTGCTAATTTTAATGCCTCTAAAACAAAACTGCACTTCATTAAAATCATCTGAGAGACCCCTTTCTGCCTTCCATTAGCATGAATGATGCTAACTTAAAGGCAAGTGACTAAGTGTGTCTAATTGAGTAAAAAATGGAAAAATTACATTGAATTCATTGTCAGGTCATCTGCTAAGAAAGTTGGTTCCGTGTTGTACTAGACAATTTTTCTCTCCAGAATCAATCTTATATAACTATAAATCAACCATTCACCCATGCTTAGAATATTGTTGGTGTCCTGTTATATATTTAGAGATTCTTGATAAAATCCAAAGAAGAATCAGCAATATTATTGGTCTTGACCTGGTATCTTGCCTTTAGTTACCTTCAAAATGTTGCTTCCTAGTGCCTTTTCTATAAATAATTTCATGATAATTGTTTGGATGAGCTCTTTGCTATGGTACCTAGACTCTATGAATTTGAGCACAATACTAGATTGGTGTCATGGTCTCATCAATTGACAGTTGAACTGACTAGATATAACCATAACTTCTATGCTAGCAGTTTCTTTTCTTGCAATTCTTGCTTGTGAAACTCTTCTGACTTCATGCCTTCTAGCCAACTTTGATCTTCAAAAATTTAAATGCAATGTCAATCATTATCTACTGTCTTCCGGATTACTCTTCCATTGTTCTTGCTCCTTAATAATGTTTCTGTATTCTAATTCTTTCACACACACACACACACACACACACACTGTAACAGCTTGTATGTTTAGTGGCTTTTTATTGTTTTGCTTGGGGTAAATTTGATTAAAAAATAATGGAAATGCTTTTTGGTTTTAGTGAGGAAAAAGAAAGCATTAGAAAAAGAAAGGCAAGAAAGGAAAGAAGGAAAAGAAAGGAAAGAAGGAAAAGAAGGAAAAGAAAGGAAGGCAAGAAAGGAAAGAAGGGAAAGAAGGAAAAGAAAGGAAAGAAGGAAAAGAAGGAAAAGAAAGGAAGGCAAGAAAGGAAAGAAGGGAAAGAAGGAAAAGAAGGGAAAAAAAGGAAAGAAGGGAAAAAAGAAAGGCAAGAAGGGAAAGAAGGAAAAGGAAGGAAAGAAGGAAAAGAAAGGAAAGAAGGAAAAGAAAGGAAAGGGAAAAAAAGGGAAAGAAGGAAAAGAAAGGAAGGCAAGAAAGGAAAGAAGGGAAAGAAGGAAAAGAAAGGAAAGAAGGGAAAAAAAGAAAGGCAAGAAAGGAAAGAAGGGAAAGAAGGAAAAGAAAGGAAAGAAGGAAAAGAAAGGAAAGAAAGGAAGGCAAGAAAGGAAAGAAGGGAAAGAAGGAAAAGAAAGGAAAGAAGGAAAAGGAAGGAAAGAAGGGAAAAAAGGGAAAGAAGGAAAAGAAAGGAAGGCAAGAAGGGAAAGAAGGAAAAGAAAGGAAAGAAGGGAAAAAAAGGTAAAGAAGGAAAAGAAAGGAAGGCAAGGAAAGAAAAGAAGGAAGAGAAATTAGAGGAGGTGCTAAATGTTCCCATGTCTGTTTCAGTGAAATGGAAAACCTTGTCAATTGACAATGATTGCTATTGCAATATTTTGATAAAGTTGTTAAAGTCAAATATTTAACAAGGCATTAGGGGAATTTCCATGAGTATTTCATAGTCATAGAACTTGCAAGGAGTTTATTCAAATTAAGAATTATGATTCATCAGAAAATTCAAATAGGAAAATTCAAATAGGAAAATTGAAATTTTCACAGGTGTTGCTAGTTTCTATTAAAGAGGAAATAAATTCAGATGAAGTGAATTGGGACAATAATAAACAAATATGGTATTGAATCAATCTGGAAAAGATCAAAGAAAGATTTTATATAAGGAAAATATATTTGCAGTAAGAGATAAAAATTATCAAGCTCAAGATGCATTATATATGATGAAAAATTGTCAAATGAAGTTATGATTCCAAAGCTATTTTTCTACAGAATCCAGCCATCTCAATGAATTTAGTCCATTAAAATATAAAACCCAGAAGTATTTATTTCATTAAAATATTTCTAGTTGATAAAGTGCATGTATACACAGAGTTATTGAAATCATTGAAATTATTGCTAAAATGAATAAAACAAAACTGCATACAAATGCAGAATATTTAATTTGACCAATTTGCAAAAAAAAAAAAAAAAAAAAAAAAAAAAAAAAAAAAAAAAACAATTATATGAACAATGTCTGGCTCAGAATATCAAATGAAACTTCCATTTTCCAATAATATCCAGAAATATCTGTGGACATTAAAAATCAGATAAAAGATATGAATAATGTTTTGTACAGAAAATAAATAATACAATATTAATGGAATAACTCAATTGATAGTATATATTAAACTGATTAAGGAAATTAAGCTTATGAAACAGTAGAAAGGGTGCTGAAAAATTGCTGACTTTGGTAAATTTTGATGATGGGAAGTGGATCAGGCTGTGAATTTTTTGCAGTCCCTTGTACAGAGTGCAGTGGAAATACCTCCCACATAATAGTGGCAATGGTGTCTTCATCTAGCTAATATCTTATATTTATGGGGGAGGGTACGATGGGTAAATTGTCGCTATTTTATATTTTTAATTTCGTGCATATGCACTGTTTTTTTGTTTGTTTTTTTTTTATTAACTGTATAGTAGAGGAGGGTCAGTTGGACACCATCTGTGAGAAAAAGAGCACCATGACAATTCACTCTGCCAGAAATTTTGAAACAGCATGCTGTACTGCTTGACATTCTCACCAGAAGCTCCACTACAGTGTTTGGGTGTCAATCTGAGGATAGTGTTGAGGATTCGGAAAGAGTTGGATGAGTTTAATGGTGATTATGAAGGTACAGCAGTTTGGAAAACTCACTGATCATTCTGATTAGGAAAGAACTCCCGAATTTCTTGGTGAGGGCCTCAGACTCAACACAGCGGCCTACATCAAGTACACTGAGGAGGTAGTACTGCCCTGGGTCAAGAGGGTGGCTGCAGAAGGCCCTATGTCTGGTAATAAGACTCTGCACCATGCCATACAAGCAAGAAGAACCCAGTCATGACTGTCAGAAAATTTCTGTGACCAGATCAACTCTTATGTCTGGCCATCTAACTCACCAGACTGCAACCCCCCCCCACTTGATTATTATGTGTGGAGGGTGTAGTTTAGTGAGAGACCCAATAAAACTCCTTGTAACACCAAAAATGAACTGAAAGCAAGGATTGTGACAGCATTCAGCAACTTAAACAAGGAGACTGTATGGAAGAGTTGCAAGAGATTCCTAAGTCATCGGGAGGCTGTGGTTAAAACCAATAGAGATTTTATTGAATAAATTTACTTTTTAGTATTTCAAGATGTTTTTGTGTAATTTTGGTAAATATATCTGTTAAAATGAGATGTCAGTGTTATTTTCATATTTTTTTTTTTTTTGCTGCATAATTTAAACGACAATTTATCCATCGCACCCTGTATTTGAGGTGTAAACAAATCTCAGAAATGACTTTTATTAAAGACATTTCTATGTTCCAAATGGATGAGTGAAGACTCCTAATTTATCTGTGTTGGTATTTATACAGATACAGTTTCATGAGTGGTTTATGAAAAATGAACAATTATCTGCTAAGGGCTTTTTCTTATAATGTAAAAATTGTTTTAAATTCTTTCGTTTAATTATGGATAGTGTTGTAAGGAAATGATAAATAATACATTTTATTAAAAGCAATCCTCTTAAAAACTGCGGAAGAGAAGATGACTTACCTTGTGTGGCAAAGCAAGCACATATTTACCCCTAACATGCAAAATGAGTGAAGGAAAGGAAAAAGAAATATGGCCGCCCTGACACCTTAATTTAAGAAAGACATGGCCTAGGAGCTAGGAAAATTGGTGAGGGTAATTGGGCATATGCAAATTTTTTGCAAGATCATCTCAACATAAAAAACAGTCAGTTTGCTTGTGGTGCTGCTTGTATGGAGAGACTTTGTCAGTTGGAAAGAGATTACTTGAGTCAGTTTCACACAAAAACACATGACAATATGTGTCCTAAGTATATTTTATGAGCAAGACAACCTTTATTGTACAAAAAGACTTAGTGATATCTTTGAAGTTCTAAAAAGATTGAATTTTAATAAACATGGAAGGAAATAAAAACATTTTTATATCCATAGACAAAATTCCATGCTTTTACAAAAAATAAACATTTTTTGTTTTAAGGAAGTTAGAAATTGAAATGAAAGCAGGTTTCCTAAAAAAAGAACTGCCAGCAAATATTCAAACATTAAATAATTTCTGATAATTTTGAGTTACTGAAGAGAAAATTAAGAATTCCTTTCCATACATTTGATTGTCATATACCTTGATTAGGAAACTATTCACAAGATCTAATATAAGTGAATTATCCAACAAAGAAAAAGAAAACTCTTGAATTAAGGAATGATTACTGCTAAAAACTAAAAATGTCTGAAAATCGACTTTTTGGGAGTAGAAATTAAAATGCTTTACATGAAATACTTTTTTGGTTGTGCTTCAATTATCAACAAATTTAATATAAATCTGGCTTCTTTATTTTTAACCAACATTGAGATGAAAACATAGAAGAGGAAATCAGATGATGATATAATTGTGGGCAAATTATTTTGTCAGCAATAGGACTGAAATATTAAAAACATCTGTACTTATCACCAAACACAGATTTCCCATTAAATGAAATTTAAAAGCAACAGTCAATTTTAATGACAATGAATTCTGCAACAGTGGTGGTAAATTTATATACTATATATGATAAATTTTATTACAAATGATATTAGTAATTAATAAAACCAAATGTTCAATTAATTATAGTTTTCTTTTATTTATTTCATATTTTTTTCACATCTAAAGCATGAATAATTTAAAGGTTAAAAATAATCATTTGTTTTGAATCTGGTGTTTTAATTCTGATTGCTTGTTCATACACTTTAAAATTATACCTCAATAGTTTGTGTTGGTATTAATTTCTAAATCTTTTAAAATACATTTTAGTAAATATATGCACACAAGTCTTGGCAATTACATAAGATTTTGTCCTAATACTGTGTTTATTTAAGGTATAGCTTTACTAAGATAACAATATATATTTTTATATATCAAGAACATTGTATAAAAAAGTGAAAAATGTTTGAAGGACAAAACACATCACAAGTAATATTTTTCCACTGTGTCATATATATTTTACAGGACAGCAGTTCAAGCAATGTAATATTTTTCTGTTCTAATTACTTTGTGAAAATAAAGTAATTGAAAAATCTGAATTCAAACAAAATTTATATATTTACATGCATAGGCAAGTAAATAAATTCAAAGTCTAATGATGAAAAAAATATTTATTTTCAGTATAATCTCCTTTGTAATTGTACTTAACCAAATGCTCCTCCATTAAATCCATAGATTTAACAATGTATTGTAGAAATTTCTGATCAAAATTTAGGTTTTAAAATTGGCAATCTACATTGATAAATTTCTAAAACATTTTCATAAAACAAAAAAATGGATATAATGCATTTTAAAAAATCTAAGATTTATTTTTAACTTAATTTAATTCTCTGTATATTTTTGTGCTATAATATTATCATAAGAATGCCATTATTTGTAAATTGATTTTAACATTTTAATTGAATATTGATACAGTATGTTACTAAACAAAAGTAAAACAAAATGCTCTTATCAAAGAAAATAGAGAAATGAGAAATGTTTATTTAATAGCAATTAAAGGGTAGTATTATTATAAGATGAAGTGTATAAAAAACAATTCTCACTTTGATTTTTGAAGGCAAGAGGAACAGAGGAAAGCAGCACATAACTTACCTAATAAACTTGTATAAATTAATGTCAGAACAGGGATTAGGAGAGATAACAAAAAGACAAATTTTAGTAATATAGGAGTAGATAGGTTTACCTATCATCCAATTCACACTCATCACCCATTTTTTAAACAGGAGTAGAGGTTTATCTCTTGATTCCTGTTTAAGATTGGGTTTCTAGTTCCTTCCAAAGTTGTTATTAATTCTCTTTCACTCCCAGTAGCCCCTTGCATCTTAGTGGCATTATTGCCTTGTTTGGGATGAATTGATTAAGAAAAAATAAGAACTACCAAGGAAAGAAAATTGTAGTGAGCCTCATCAGTCAGTTTATTGTAGGGTTATCATTGCATTTCATGAAATTTAGAGAATAACACAATCGGACTGTTGAAGACTGATGCCAGGGTACATTAAATTAATTTAAATGCAATGTCCATCATTATCTTCTGTCTTTTATTATTCTTTCTTCTTAATAATGTTTTTCTTTTTCTCAAATTCTTTCACATTCAGTAACCCCTTGAATCTTTATTGCTTTGCTTGGGGTGAAAAAAAAGTTATGTCAGTTCTTTCAGGAAGACTGTCCAGGTTGTATGTGAAGGAAACCACATGAAGTTATGGATCCAGTTTGTCAGGAGGGTGTAATCCAAACTGTCGGTGTCTCTTTAATGCTGTGTGCTGTGAAATACTGGAATTTCTAGGACCTAATACTGTATAATGGCTTGACTTTAATTTTATATCTTGATTTAAATCGTAAACACAAATTCATAACAAAATAATATTTAACAATTAACGATATTTCTTTCAACTTACCTCTAGCAATACGAAGCACCCTCATGACTCGTATTATCGTTGGATTCATAGGTATTACATTACTTTCCATTTCTTCAAGAACAATTCCAACCACTGAGAGGATGACAATGGCTATATCCAGTTGGTTCCATCTAAAAAAAAAAGTAAGAAGTAATAAAAGAATGAAATCTGCTCCTTCAAAAAAAAAAAAAAGAAAAAAAAAAAAGGAAAAAAATCAAAAATTGAAAGAGTAAAAATTAGGGAAATAACATCTGTACTCACCGTTCTCGCATATATCGATACAAACCAAGGGCCACAATTTTCATGCTAGCTTCCAAAATAAAAACACTTGTGAAGAAATAATTGAAGATTTTCAAAGCAAATTCCAGCCCCTGGATAAAGGATAAAATAAACAATCTTATGATAATTTTAAAAAGGAGGTTAAAATTTATAAAAATTATATTCAATCTGTAGTAAAATTAATTTTTAATGGTAATATAAGAATTTGAAAGGGACAGTAAAGGGAGTTAACCCATTACCATTCAAAGATCAACTCTGAACTTGAAACCCTTACTAATCCAGGACTCTGATACCTTCTTGGGGCCATGAGGTAAATTCGATCCTAAAATCTTCCTCATTTGCAACTAACAGGTGTAGTGACCACACATTTATTAGAGCCGTTTTTTCCAATGTTAATTGAATACAGAAGTCACAAATCCCACTTGTTCCTTAGACACTTTTCTAACAATTAAGTCCACAAATATAAATTATATTTGCAAGACTTCTTTTTTACCCTGTTGGGTTGACTGGAAGTTTCCATCTCATGACTCAGGAATCGAATGACCAAAATCAGTTATTTACACATAAGGCTCTGAGTGACACTTCTGGTAGCATTGGAAACATTCAAAATATAATATAAATTATTAATTGACCACTGACAGTGTTTCCCTCACATTTTCATGGGACTTTTTTGTGAGCTATAAATACAGACTATAAAGCAACAAGGTCAGTTTGTGAATGGATTACGTGTTATCAACTCAACCAATTTATTGATCCACTGAAACACTTCATGCTTCTCTGATGTAGATTCAACAATGAATCCAAGGTATGAACTATCCCCCTTTCAAGGGTTTTTATTAAAATCATTTGAATGCATGTTTTGACTATGAACTATCCCCTTTTCCAAAGGTTTTATTAAGTACACCTTAATGTGTGTCTTTATACCGTTCCATTTTCAGGGGTTCATTTAAATGCACCTAAATGTGTGTATGTTATCTTTTCCGTTTTAAATGTTCATGGGTCTTATTATATTCACCACATGATGTATAAAATACCCAAATAAATTATTATTTGTTAATGAACAAATCTTTATCTTCTTGTTCATTTTAAATTCACTTATTTAAATGCCTTGCTTAATCATTGTGTTGTAGGTTGGGCTAAGATTACTTTATTCCGGGCAGCACCTGGAATAATTAATAATTGCTGCCACTATCTTATATGAGTTAACCACAAGAACCAAACACTTTCTGCACCCCATAAGTCAACTAATTTCCATAACCTGCTTCTGAGAAACTCAACACCTCCAAAACAACCTATTGTACATACACCTGTACATTAAATCCATTGAATTTAATACTGTAGTTGAATTGCTTCTATTCTTCAAGTGTGTCCGTCTTTGACTTTGTTTCAACCGAGAATAATTCGCAAAATTTTTTAATATTTTTAATGAAATTTGACAGCGATTTCTTTTGAGAGTAAATTCCCCTGAAAGAAAGAGTAGTCCCCCTTAGACAATTTTTACAGTGACGATGAGAGGATACAATGACTAAAACTAATCATTAAGACAAAATTATGTGAAAACAAACGTTTTAGTGTTTATTAAGAAAAGAAAGATGAAAACATTTCAATCCTCTATTATGTGTGCTGGAAAAACAGACAAAAATACACTAAATATCTTACAAAATGTGAACTTTAGTAGAACATTAATTTTCATAGTCTTTCAAGCATGAAAGACAAATATGAAATAATGAACACTTTATTTTAAAAGGTAACGTTTTTCTTCATTTTCCCAAGGAATTTTTTTCATTCAAATTATTAAATATTTTCTGAAAAACATTTGTTCTTTATTAATAATAAAAATCAAAAAATATATTTCACAGTGCAATATTGAGTAAGAAGCAATGTATATATTTCAAAAGAAACTGATTTAGATTTTTTATATAAACAAATATAAATGAGTAAATGTGCTTTAAAGGCAAACAAAACCTTTCTTGAGATATATATATATATATATATATATATACATACATACACACACAGAGAATATTTTATACAAAGAAAACTTAATATTAATTCAGTAATCTTTGAAAGTAAAAATTACTTATTTAAGCTTTAGCTATGTAGCTCATATATAAATGCAACTTGGAAATAAACATCTTACATGTGTTTTGTTTATATAAGGCCGGGTATCATGTGATCGGCTCAGCCTTAGTGAGCGGGAAATTTCATTCCTTGCGTGCAGGATATCTGATTGACCAATCAGTGAGCTAGTTTTGAGGAGATCAACCAATGAATGCTTGTCGCATGATTTCTATGTACTGTGTGTATGTAATGGTGGTGGTAGTTACCACAATTTTATTTAAGCATGAAACAGACTCTCACCACTGGTTGTTGATCCCAATGTCCACTTTTATATATATGTGTGTGTGCATTGATTCAAAAAGAAAATTACAAAATCACCACAAGAAGGTAGCAAAAGAAATAATCATAAGTAGACAATGCATGGCTGTCAGCAAGAGATGCAGCTAGAAGGTGAGAGTTTTGATTTGGGAGCATCAGTATCTAACAAGTGCAGAGATTTAACTAACAGATGATAGAAAGTGTGACACAGATCTAAAGATGTATCAGAATATTGAAAGAAACTTTTCAGAAACTAAGCAAATTATTAAGACATAGGAATATTTCATTACAAACAAAGAAAAGAGTGCTGAACAGTCATTTCAATTTCCAACATATTGAATTTAAGTAAAATCTTAATTGTTGTGCCAGGCTAAACTGAAATATAAAAAAGTCTTTGTAAAAATTAAAGAAGAGTAAGAAATTATAGCAAAGAAATAGATGTGATCTTTTTTTTATTACTTACATTAGGCATGAGGTAATATTCTGTGGCCATAGTGATAACATTTAATCCAATGACACCAGCAATTGCTAGGTCAAAATATTTACTGTTGATGACTGTATGTATTAACAAGCGAGGTCTTGAATAGGACGACCAATATGGTGGTTCTCTTAATTCTGTTAAAGATAAGGCATTACATTAGAAAAATATTAAAAGAAGAGACAATACAAAGGTAGAAACTTTATCAGGCAATATACATTTGTCGCCATCTATAAAAAGAATACCCGCTCGGCCCGGTGGCTAGGATCAAAGTGTAGTATCTGTGCTTTGTGAGCTGCTGGGTCGGGTGTCTGTCGAACTCTCTGCTTGCAGAGAGGAACTCGGACTCTCTCTGCCGAAGGGTAGGGTTTTCGTTGGGGGAGGTTGACGGAATTGGCCCGCCTCGGCGGGTTTGGATGGTTATTTATTTTTGGCTGGGCCTACGGGCTCAGAGATACCCACATTAAAAAGGCCTTGTGCCACATTCGATCCCCGTGGGTGGATTGATAAATACCATCAGGCAATATACATGCATGGTGGTATATGACAGTAGCAACAGTATCTTTACATATTTATCTTTTCAGTTGATCTATTTTGCTTTTGTGGCATTGCAATGAAAAATATATTTGATATTTAAAATGGAAATAAAATTCTGTAACCTAAATTTTCTATGAGAAATCTGTTTCAAATTTTATTCTTTGGGAGAACTTTAGGCAGGCTCCTGCAGAGGGCTTTTGGACCTTCAGATATTTAACTTCAGTGCCTTATGTATGTAAAAGTTATAAGAATTTCGAAATAACTAGCAGCATGGCCTGGTGTTGCTCGTGCTTGATTCAAAAATCGTACGACTCATACAGCAATCGCTATCACTTGACTTAAAATATTTTTGCCCTTCCTTGCCTTTAAAGGAGTGCCCTTTGCCGTGCTGATGTTGTTACATGCCTTACTTCTTACTTCTATCTCACACTGCAAATTTTTTCTAAGTTCTATACTAAACATTACGTTCTATACTAAACATTACTTTACATTAAGTTCTATACTAAACATTATGAAAAAAGAACTAAACAAAATGAACACAAAACGATCAGCTTTAAAAAAGGACTCGTAACTGAAAAAACCGAATGTAAAAAGAATGTTAACAACAAATACTTTTTCACACCCAACCCAGTTCTGCGGAATCAGAATCAACATTGATTTTAAGCAAGCGAATGAGCCAATTGGAGTAAAGTGCCATGCAGATTTAAATTTTTCCCACTTGTGACGAATGCAGCTATCGATTTTTTTTGCATGCTAGCATGCTAGTTAACATTCGTGTCAGTCAGCTGTTGGCTCTCATGCTGACCAATAGAATCTTCCTGCCTATTTGTGGCAGCCATTCTGGCCAGTTGAAAATGGCCGCAAACTACATGAAAATTGCTGTAGAAGCATGAAAAAATCGATTATTTCCACTATCGATGGGAGTTGAGAAATGCAAAGTCAGTCTTGGCCTTTCCGCTAACTTGGAGCATGTGCATGTAAATTTTGGTGCAAATCCATCAAAAATTGTGGCCATGCATTCGTTACACACACACACACACATACACATCCTGCCTTTTATAGATACAGATAAAATTATTTTATCTTTATTGGACACCTTAATTCAGCATAACCATCTTCATATATACAACTGATCTCCGTAGTTTGTTTACATTTATTTTGCGTGAAATTTTTATTTTCTTTTAAAATCACCATTCTTTATGATTCCTTCACATAAAGTCACTCTTAAAAGACATTATTTGCATCATGAGTAGCTGATTTTTACAGTGTTTTTGTTGAATACTTTCAACAAAAACACAGTAAAAAGCAGTTGTATATATAAAAAGTTGAACAAAAACACAATGCATATGGCCTGATGATTGCATTTAGCATGAAACAGATTGTTGCCTCTGAGTGTTGATTCAATATCCACTGAAATATATACAAATGTGTGTGTGTGTGTGTGTAAATATTCTAAAATGAAGTATATCTGTAGAAGAGACAAAATGAATGAAAAGAGGAAAACGATACTTAGTTGAGCTGACATGTTTTGTCATTTGATGGACTTTATCAAAGTAAATGTGATGGTTTTATTTTGCAACAAGTATATATTTGACAGTTACACAAAATTTCCAAATTGAAGAATACTCATAAATATTCAGCAAGTTAACTGAAAAGATTTAGATGTTAATTCCTAGATTAAATCATATAACATCTTCAAAAAGAAATTTTCAATTTACAGACTATCAATAATAGATTAACTAAAATATCTAGGCATTTAGATCTTAGAATACATCATTTAGTATACTTGAAAAAGAAAAAGTTTTTTGGATTGAAATATGGACATTTGTATTATACATCTCCAAAAGTTGAAATGATGGATTCAGCCATTTTCTTTTGATTTTACAACACATTTTTTGTTGTGTATGTTGGCTTGGGAAAGTAGTAATTCCTTCAGGAAAGGTGAGATTGGGAGTAGGTGGATATTTTGATAATATTCAATGGCAGAACTCTCAAGGATTACTTTCTCTTTTGATGAGTGTGGCACATTTTTTAGATCAAAATTGTGTTTGAATTTATTTCTGTGTATGACTAGTGAATTTGTTAAATTATTATTTATAAGGTCTCTTTTATATTCATAGACATGTTTATTTTAAATTTCTGCTTGTTTCCTTAATGTATTGCAAAGAACAGTTAAGGAAATTTAATTTATATCTGCCTGCTTCTGTACAATTATTGATATGGGTGTTTTTAGATTTGATTATATCCATGATGGTTTTGGAAGTGGTTGTAACTATTTGGATGTTTTTTAGATAAGGTATTTTAGATAGTGGATGTTATAGAATTAGTAGGTAGTATTATGTATCAGCTTTGTTTAATTTATTATTGCAGATAATGTTGTTATTTTTGTTGCAGTTGTATATTTTTTGTGCCTTTCTCTTTGTATTGTGGATGAAGTTAGAGGAATATTGGAAGTTTTTGAATGTGTTTTCTATCCAAAATACCTTATCTGATCTAAACAACATTCAATTTTCAAATAGTTACAACCATTTCCAAAACCACCAAGTGAACCCCTAAGATAAGATTAAAAACGTTGTCTCTTTTTTTCCAGATAATCAAATCTTAAACTATATCTTCATTAAGAAAAACCTTTAAATGAATTACAGCCACTTTCAAAATTTTTATTACACTGGAATAAAAATATTAATTCAAAATTATTTATAAAGTTGTGTCAAAAGGATGGTTTTTCTCCTAATGCTGCTATCACTGTATATTATCTCAACTCTCATGACAATGTTTATTGTTTTAAAACATTATGTCTAGAATTTTAATAACAACAAAAATTTTATATAGTTTTTGAGTGTCTAGGAAAAAAAGTTCTAATAAATTTTAATGTAATTAGAAAGAAATATTTTTTTAAAAAGAAACTCACTTTTCTTCTTTTTCTCCATTTTTTGTTTTCGTTTTGCATCTCGTCGTGCCCGTTCTTCCTGCTCTTGACTCTCTCGGCACTTGTGGAAATTTTCAACAACAACACCAACAAACATGTTTAACACAAAGAAGCCAACAAGAAGTAAGAAAGAGATGAAATATAACAGACGCCACTCATTGTAATTTTCCTTTGGCTGAAACAAAGAAAAAACAAATTAATATTTCTAGCAGAGACACAAATGGAATTCAGAGAATTTCCTACCAATTTTGAATTAATGATATATGAAAAATAGAAAATAAATTATAAAAATAAAAAAGGGCAAGATAACTTCAAACTTTGGTAACATCATGGTTTCTTCATTTTTATTTTAAATAAACAATCCCCTTTTTTAAAAATATGATAAAAAGTAACTCTTGTTTTAAATTTCTGTAAAACATATAACAAATTAATAAATAATGAATGATATAAAAATGGAGTAGATATTTATAAATAATCATTAACAATTTAAAAAGAAACAAAATCAAGTATTTCTAAAACATTAAAACAGCTAAACTATCTATAAAACAGTTTTAAAATCTGATATTGAAAATGATATTTACAAAGAATGAATAAAATTCCTCAAACATTTTTTGATTAAAACCACAAAAATGTATTCATTGATGGCATTACAAAATAGAAAGTTATGACAGAATTGTTTTGGAGCAAATATTATATTTAATGGATAGTGCAGTAATATTGTTGTCGAAATGTAAGTTCAGCATTATGACATTTACAAGTTACTTACTGTATAAGAAAAATCATCAGTCTTATAAACTGAAGCTAAAAAAATTAAGATAAAAAGGTAAGAATAAATGGTAATACATATTTTTGTTAAGTTGAATTATTTAGATATTTGGATTATTAGATTGTATTTGTGATTTTTACAATTCTCACTTTCACTATGAGCTGAGACAGAAATATGGTAATGGTCTGTCGCCATTTTTAAGTTGTGGTTTCAGCCCATAACAAGCACAATGTAAATACAATGTATTTTTGTAGTGTTATATGAACACTAAGTTCATGAGTCATGTCCCTTGAATTTATTGAAGAAGCTAAGATGGTGTAAATAAATCATATAGCAGCACCATTTGTCTTATAAGAAATTAGGTTATGTACCCTTGTTTCTGCTGCTATTATATACTTTTAATGGCAAAACTCAGTTTTTGCACCAAATAAGGTTTGGTGTGTAATTATGAACACTAAGTTAGTGCAGTCCAAGAACTTGAAGGAGACAGACGTCTTTAGCTGTCTCCATGGAACAGCGCCCAAGTTTTGAAGAAGAAGGCTCGCCTCTAAAGAGAAGATATGTGTTTGAACCTTCCAGATGGTTCCTGAACCTTTGTTTGAATGACAGATAAGTGTTGCAAACTGTTTCTAACTAAAATGTATTGGAATTGACACAATTGTTTGACTATACCTGCTAAAAGCATGTTTTTTAGTAACTCTCTCATTTCAAGTTTTGATTGTTGGAACAATTTATAAAGAAGTCATTAAGAGTATAAAATAATGATGTGGTCCTGATTATGTTGTTAAAACTGCATCCATTTAATGGCGTTAAACTTACTGGGTATGAATTTAAATTATACCCTATAACAATGCTGGCTAACTTAGTCCTAAGTATGACTAATTTCTAACTGGACTAAACTTGGCCTTGAACTGTATCTATGATGGGGAAAATACTAATAATAATAAATAAAGAATTCACTTTAATTGTAATAAGACATATCTCGGCTGATTTACAGGCAAATACTCAAGAGCGAGAACCGGATGTGAACGGGACAAAGCCCCATCACAAAATGACCATTATCTTTCTTTACAAATGTTCCCGACACACGTGTTCCGTTCGAAAAATAAAATAATATTTAAAGTGATCTATTTTTCGTCCAATAAAAATGCTTTCCTCCTAATTATACTCGCTTCGTTTTTCGAGCCTGTTAAGCCATAAAAAAACGCTATAAAAGGGGTCACACGGAAGTTCAACAGGCAGACAACAGGTGGCCACAAAGGAGACCTGTCACGGTCAGGCCGAGCGTTCAGCAGCTGTCAGCAGGAGAGCACCAACCACCGTCAACATGTGTGAACTACTATGAGAGATCGACCTAGATTCGAAAGCCAGCTTATGAACTTTACCACAAGGTAACTGTCCCAAACCCTCACGTTCCTGTTGAAATAAACAATGTAAATCTATTTCTACTGTTGTCATATTTCTTTCTTGCAACCATACACTTGTCTATAACATAATGAAGTAATTAAGCTCAGGTACAAGATTTAAAACAACTTACATCAGCACACAAGTGTTAAATTTAAAAATACTACATTTTTACAAAATGCAATGGATCACTTGAAATAATGCAAAGTTTTACTGTTAATGTTGGAAAAGATCAAGTGATATTGTCAGCAACAGATAATTTTTCAGTTCATCAACATTTCAGGTTAAAGATTCTATCTGGAATTCTTCAAAAAGTCCTGGTTAAGACTTTAAACTAAATTTGGTGACAAGGCCCTGCTTGCAGGAATTGGGGAGTTTGGAGTCACACCTTGTCATTTCTCCCAGGTCCATTTTGACCCAGAGTTGTAGCACCTGTTAGGGTTGTCCTTGATAAGACATTAAACTGTTTACATGTAATCCAATATGAAATTAATAAGTATATAATAATGATGATGATAAGATCATATGATGATGATATACAACAATAGAATTCTTTTGACAGCACTGTCATTGTCATCATATAATGAAGTCAGATGTAGTTTCCTATATATTACATTTATTTTACTGAAGTCTCTAAATAAAATTATATTTTTTCAAAAGATGTCTTAATTTGCATTGAATTTTTATCTTATGTCAACACCAGCATTAACTAAAAGTAGTCATTTAAAAGAAAATAATAAAGAAATATTCTTTTGATAATGACTATAACTAAAACGGTAACTGCAAGTTGGAATTCATTGTTAATAACAGATTCTTATACTTTTCTCTAAATGATTTAAGCTCATATTTTATATTAACCTTTTTTGCTTTTGTTGCACTAAGCTTCAACTTGTTCAATATTTATGCCTTATAACTGTTTAGAGTTTATTTTATTTCAATGAATATCAACAGATTAGATATTCATAGAAACTACCATATATGCTTGAGTATAGTTTGAGTTTTTATGATTTATATTTTTTACGCAAAAATAAGGGGTATGAGGGTGTAGTGGGTAGCGGCTCAAACTGAGGAATCAGGGAGCCAAGTTTGAATTCAGTTGAATCCATTACATTCACTTACGTGCTAATACCCTTGGGAAAGGTATGAATCCTCTTCTCCCCACAACTACGGATAAATAGCAGGACAGACTGAGTTCTATAGCCTTGGATGGCAACTGGTCTAGGAGAAGGAAACTGCAGAGGGTTTTAGGGGACATAGTGCACCAGGTCTCTATATTCGTCCCTTCAAAAAAGTATGGTTGGTTCTGCACAAAGCCTTCACCACTATAATCAAATCATATGTGCTGGTGTCTGGGCTCTCAGTTTCTAGGAACTGAGCTGCTTGACCCTCATATGTCAAATACAATGGGAGAGTCCAGCATATATATATATATACATATACACAGATAATTTTTTTTGAAGAGGTTACAAATACTGCATTTTTGGTGACCAGTTGCACTATAAGCAGGTAATTTTTTTCAGGAGGGGTTAAAATTCATTCATTCATTCATTTACTATATATATAGTTTATACAGAAGTAGAGGATAAATGAATATCCACATAGCCACCTGAGAAAGCTATTCATTAAATTTGAAATAACTTTTGTGTTAAATAATACTTAATGAAAATAATATAGAATTTACCTGCATATCGACTCCTACTGCATCCAAACCAGTATACATAATGCTAACCCAACCATCTTTAGATGCAAGAACAAAAAGCGCCATCAGAGCCTGGAAAACAAAAAAGTGAAACACAAATCTTATTTCCTTTTTATATTTGTAACCATCAAAGAAAATGTTGATAGCCATCTGAATTTCCTTTAAAATATCTGTTGTGGCTATTATTCATTTTAGTTAAAACTTTTAAAGTTAAATCTTAAAAACATTCAAACAAAGACATGTTCAGGTGGCATGAGAATAATGCTCCCCATTAATCCCAGTCATTGTAAAAAGCAGATTTGGGAAAAAACTAGAAAGAAAGGAAAATTATGTGCAACTGGATACAACCAGTAAATAAGACTGAGCCATTTAGTGTGACATACATAGAAAATAATTTCTAACAAACACATAAGGAAGAAATGCATACGTGTAGTTGGTATATAAAATGTCTGTACCTTAAATGTACAATTGTGTGAGTCTTTTTTAGGATGATGAAATGTGTCCTGGTTGTGAGAACTTTATTTTAGAAAGTCAATTAATCAGTGACAAACTAAACGTTCAATAATTTATCATTGAGGACAGTACAGTATTCATACAAAGTTTACCAAAAATGTACGGTCACATCTTTATATTCCAACATAATCTACAATGAATTATTTAGTTAAAAAATCTCATATTATTGTTCCTGGGGAGTAATGTCAACGGGTGGTTTTGTTCTCAAAGTCATTGTTTATCAAAAAAAAAGAGAAAATTTAAAAATATAAAATTATTTACATTATTCGGACTAATGTCCTCCTCTTTGTAGCCATATTTATTATAACGTTTCGGCCGTTGTACGCTCCAGCCTTCTTCAGGTGGTTGGAATTTCGGACTGAACCCTTTATTTCGCTCACTGGGGTAGACTGTTCTAGTACCATGTATTTTCCACTGTGCCATGTGTCCTTGAGGATAATTAGGGATATTAGCAGGAGATAACTGATAACTGACATCCATCAAAAACATGGCACATGGAACTAGAACAGTCTACCCCAGTGAGCGAAATAAAGGGTTCAGTTCGAAATTCCAACCACCTGAAGAAGGCTGGAGCGTACAGCGGCTGAAACGTTGTGATAAATATGGCGACAAAGATGAGGACATTAGTCCAAATAATGTAAATAATGTACATAATACCTCATCTCAGAAATATAGACAGACTATAAAATTATTTTGATGCGTGTATTTGTTGGTAGTATGATTTTCTTTCATATTTAATTACTATTTTTAAGAAAGAAAAATTAACTTTTCCAACAAAAGAAATTAAAAAGTGTTGTAAAAGTTGTCATAGTAACTGTAAATAACAACTTTGGTAACAGTAACAACAACGTAAAGGAAGCATTTGTTGAGTTTATTCAGTCGGGGGATTTTATTTTTATGAAAATTCCCAGTTGTACCAAATAATGGTGAGTAAAGAACTCACCATTAATAGCATCATTTCTTCTAAAATACTTCACTCCATCTTTTTATTGTGTACATCTAGTAAGTACATTTTTAACACTACAAATTTACTTGAGTCACGTTAAATGTTTTTAGAAGGTTACTCGAACCATGATTTCTTTTCTCACCTTCAATAATTATTACCAAAAACTGAAGGGTTCTCTCAAATGATTGAAAGAAAGCCATTTTGTTTTGGAGGTGTTAAAATTAACAAGCCATTCCTTGCCCCAGTTACCAAGAGATTGTAGGTCATTTTTGAGATCAGCTGCGAATTTGACTATATTGAAGTGCTAAAACTATTAAGACAGGTATAAATGGTTGTGTCATCAGGATAGATACCAAGTTGAGAACTGATGCCATTCACTCATTTCTTCTACATAACCTTCTGAACTGTATTTCTAAGGAAGTATCATTCAGTTTAGTTGACTCATTTCTATTGCTGAAACAAATCAAGGATATTTGTTCATATTTTCTTTATTCTCAGATAAAAAGTTAAGGATAATCAATTAGAATCATAAAACTGGTTGAAATTGATATTGCCTGGCTAAAAATTCAAATATTTTTTCAAATAAAATTCAAAGTTTTTGAAGTTGAGTATCAATATTTCAATAGAATCTACATTAATCATTTATATAATTATACAATAAAGAAAGTAAATCTTTATTTTTACAATAAAGGAAGTAAAGCTATATTTTATATGAATTAACCAGAAAAAATGACTAGCAACATTTATTTATATACTGATTTACTCAGACTAATGTCCTTATCTTTGTTATGTTTCAGCCATCTTCAGATATCTTTCAGAGTAACCTTCAGGGAATTTTGTACTGAACTCTTTATTCAATACATAGAGATTGTTCTCATTCCACTGTCTATGCTAGAGGAAATCTTTTATCAGTTAATTCTTTTGACTTGATACATCATTGGGATATATTTATTATTTTGTCATGTCCTGTCAGAACTCCAATTCTTTAAATATAATGGAAGTACTCACTTCAACAGCCACAGCACATATGACAAAAACATACCTTAATTTTATCCAGCTCTGCACACCTATTTCTGGAATAGTAGGAAAACCAGGGTCGTAAAAACATCTTTTCTGATTAATCAGAAAAAAAACCCGTGTGGTTTTTGTAGTAGATGTTTCTGATCCACTGACTCACTATAAAGCTAACCTTGACTTCACCCATGATGGCAGATTCAACCTGGCTGGCATTAGTGATGGACCCACACAAGAGGCAAGCTTAACCAAACCATCAGCAGTGACATGGAGGAACTTCTATCAACAGTAATGCATTCAGACAGTGACAAAACTAATGGCAACAGTAAGGACTAACTCTCGACTACTACAATTTGTGAATATTTCTTCTACAAATATATCTCACTATACTACATATGCATTTGATATTCTTCATGTGTCTTATCTTGAGTACTACCTTGTGTCGTACTGCAAACTCTCAGTCTCCCACAACTGGGATATATTTTACCCCAGAATGGGCAATTGAACTTTGTAAATGATGGTGAAATAAAACCTCTTTCATAAACCTTTTCAACCATGTCTTATCTTCATTTGTTGTTTTGTCACTTCCACTTGATTTTCTTGTCAATGATAAAACTACTGTTACAATCTTTTCTAATGAATGAAAGTATGTTAGTTCTTGTGTTATTCAACCCAGGAACTCATAACCACCAAGTAACCAGATCTATTTAACCAATGTCTTTATCTACTTAACACATGGTTAAGTAGATAAAGACAAAGATTTTGGTGATAACAACTAAGATGTGCATATTGGTTTGAATATAGTTAATGCTAATAATTTGGGCCAAAACATTTTTATAATTGTAAAATTTATAATTAGGTATAAAAATTCCATTCAGCATAATATTTTCAATATATGAATCTTTTGTATTTAACTGGTAAAAATACAATTAATTTTAAAAATGTTAGAAAACTAAAAATAACTTGAAAACATTTTAATTTGTGATGAACATATAAATAATAATGAATAATGTTTAAAGATGTATCACTAAATATCTTGAAGTGAAACTTACCTGACCGAGGCTATCAAAATTATATTTTTGATTTCGCCAACGGTTTCTTGGATCTTTCATGCAATCTGTTCTGTTGGTAACATTTTGGATATGTGGACCATAGCAGTAATGAAATGTTCCTTTGAATAGCTGAAATGAGCAGGAAATAAACCTCTAAAGCTTTTAAATGCAAAGAAAATGAATAACAATGTTGTAGCATACCTACGGACGATAATGGGTATGTCCCTATTCATGTAACTGTATATTGGTCTGCAGTTGGAGATTCATTGTGGAATTCATTTAACTCACTTCTAGCAGTTAACTACTACTACTATGTGCTTCTGGCAAATCTTATATGTGTTGTTCTTGTTCTAAGTATTATTGTTCATTACCAACCTTCATTTGATTATACTATTCAGTAACCTTCCCGAGGTAACAACAAACAATTTTCAGTTTAGATGTTTAAAAAGTATTCAAATATAGAGAAAGTAATTTAATAAGTGATGAAAAATTACTTTCTGCTTTATCAACATTCATTTATACAGTTTCTAGATATAAATAATATTTTATAGACATCCATAAAATATACTGTATGTACAGACAACTAATATAAGACAAAATTGAACTGAATCTAAAAAATAAAGTTGCATATTAATGCATTGAGCCTGTAAGCATAAATAACACAGTATTCTTTTAAAAATCTGGACAATAATAAGGAAAGATTCCTACTGATTAAAATAGTATTTTATTTTTCTTTATCTGTGTGTCATATTCTAAAATGGTTACTCTTGATTTTAGATGTTGATAATGATAATTAAAAACATGGTAAACATAGTTAAAATAATGAAAATGTTTGTTATGACAGCTATAAATGTAGCAACATCCATTTTGTAGAAGCTGAAAAACTCTTTTTTTTTTTAAATAAATAAACCAAAATAGTATAGTTGCATAATTTAATTAAAAATGATAACAATTTCTTTTTTTTATCCAAGTACAAAGTTGTACATGAAATATTTTAGATGTAACTAAGTTTTTAATAGGGAGTTAATCCCTATTTTATTTCTTGAACAATCAATGAAGTTGATGGTGAAAAAACAGAAATAAATTAGAAATTTTCATTGAATACAAAATGAGGTTTATTTTTCAAAATTTTGGATGTTGGCCTATTGAAAAAAAACCTCAACCACTTGTGAAATTTTAAATAAAGAAAAAAGTTAGAAGAAAAGCACTTATGTTTGTAATCTTACCTGAACACCTAAAATCCCAAATATAATAAAAAATGTACAGCATATAAGTACGATATTGCCAATTGGTCTCAATGATGATAACAATGTCTGCACAACCAGTTTTAATCCTGGAGCTCGACTGATCACCCTGCAAAAGAGTTTGTATAAAATTATCTCTACAACTCTACAAATATTTCTAAATGTATCTATAACTGAATTAAAAAAAACAAAGTTTTATCTTCTTTTGATAATGAAATAGTAAATATAGATGGATTGTTTAAGGAAATTATATCTTTCTTGAAATTGACTGTGGAATTCGCAAAAATCATTGCAAAATATCAATATCTTTCTTGAAATTGACTGTGGAATTTGCAAAAAAAAAATAGATAAATAAATAAAAAGTAAAAACTTCCAACTTTCAGTAGAAGTTTTATTAGAAATGTAAAGTAAAAACAATGGAGAAGATTCATATTAGTTTAATTTCTGAATTTTTACTTGTGGTCAGTTATTTTATTATTAATTACATAAATTCATAGCATCATTATTCAGTGAGGTTTTCAACATGAGACTGATGCAGTTGTTTTCACTATTTCTTTTGTAAAATCTTGTTACTTATATAAATTCATAGTCATTAAAGTAATTTGTGTCATCCAAGTATTATTCCCTTATGACATCTTCATCAGCTAAATTGTAATTTTCATAATAAAAGAATGATACATATTTTGAGTCAATGAATTCACTCAGGAATTTTTGAATATGTTCAAACTTGCTGGAACTGTAGACCAAATAAAGAATGATGCAAGGAGCAAAACTTGTCTGAAGGTGAAGAATATACAATATGTAGAACTTCCCATTCCAGTTCCAAGATTGTTATGTTACAATTGCAACATAGATGCTGTCATGCAACAAAATCATTGGTCAATTTGCCTAGAAAAACGATCTTTTCTCTTTCAATGCAATTCAAATGAGCCAATTATTCACTGTAACGTTCAGCAGTGACAAATTATCCAGGTTCCAGTAATTCGTAAGTAATTCCCTTTAAATTTCACTAAATACAAAGACTTTTCCCTAAAAGATTAAATTTATCTTGAGATTTTGAATCCTTTCTTTTGTTTTTGATTCTTGAAATGAACTTATTTTTCATTGTTAGTGAATATCTTATCCAAAATTGACTTTTTCTTTGTGTTTAACAAGAAAAGACACAAAATGTTTAAATATTTACTAATGTTATTTATTCCTTTCCATACATTTACATGGAACCAATGTTTGTAACTTCTGAATTTATTCTAAGGCATGTAAATGACATTCTGCAATTGACTGATTGTATAAACAATTGCATGGGGGAGATGGAGCTCCTTAGCCTAGGAGAAAGAAAATTTCCAATATAAAACCATATTGTGAGGGTTTAAATTTCAAGTGGGTACCTGGTATAGGTAAACCCCCTATATGAAGGAGGATAGCTTTCTTTAAACTTGCTTGTGTATAAATTTTTCCAACCATTATGTCAGGGTATGACAAGGAAGGACAAGCTGATGAAACTAGAGTGTCCAGAGGGAGCCACCTTCAAATCATTGTCATGTGATCAGGAGCTGTTTGGTGAGAACTGTCTTATGTTGGTGTGCAATCTACCATAGGTGGAAATAGTAAAATGATGATGATGATGAACAACAAAGAACTGAGTAAATATTAAAGTTTTCCCTAACATTGTGCAAAAAGATGGCACTGTGATAACCCTAATAAAATAAAGAATATTGTGAACACATATGGAATGTTGAATTTTTCCAGACAGCTGCAACAGTTATATAAACTGACACATTCACATGAACATTCATGCATAGCAACTGAATTGCAGATTATTTAAAAAATAAAATAAAATTAACCACAGTTTAGAATAAAATAAAGGATTTTTAAAAATATAAATGTTTAACAAGCATTGCGTGTTTTAAAGAAAGGACCACTGTAAAAAAAAAAAAAAAAATAAAGCCCTAAGGCAACACTTACCGTAATGGTCGTAAGGTACGAAGTAACCTAAAGACTCGCAAAATTCCGAATATTCGCGGACTGCTTTCAGCAGTGCCAGATATGGTAATGTCTATGAGAGAAATGACCACAAGGAAGCCATCCATAACATTCCAGCCACTCTTGAGGTAAGCATGCCTTCCAATTATCAACCCTTTTGCCAAAACCTATAAAAAACATTGAAGAAAGATAAAATTTCATGCTGTTGTTTGAGTGAAAAAAATTAAACTACACTCTCAAGTAGAAAGTGCATGAGTAATCCTATATGAATTACGTATTATAATTTTACACTTAAATATATAATCAAAGCTGATAGAATAGACACTGTTTGTCTAATATTTGTTTTAATGATGTAAATTCTAACAAATGTATAGATTAACAAAAAAAACAGTTATTGGTGAGATGGTCACATGTTTTTTTTAATATTCTATGCATACATGAATAATTAATTAAAACAATAAGATTGTTACAAAATAATTTGTTTTGTAGCTTTGTAATATCAATTAATAAAAATTCAAATAGATTTCTTCAATAAAAACTTTTAAAGAAAAATTTATTCTTTGTAACAATTTAAAATTTTCAAATACTTTTTTTTTATTAATAAACATATTTTGAAACAAGTGAATAAATAGGAAGATACATTATACATTAGGAGTTTTTCAACTCTTTATGATCAAAGAAATTCTGACAGATTAAACAATAAGCATAACAATAATTACATTCTGTAAAGAAAACTAACATCTGCTTTGGTAAATATTTTTGTTGAAAAATTAAAAAAATGTTCATACATTTTTGTATTGTAAATTTTTTATATTTAAATTTCATTTTGACAAAATAATTCTCTATGTTTAATATTTCTTAATCAAATTCGATCTATACGTTAATGTTATACAAAAAATCTGTTTGGTCAGATTTTGGGAAGTTGAACTAAAATCTTTCTCTACCATATGATATACTTAATCAAGAAATACCCACAAGTCCAATTTTAATTTTGACCTTATGTCCCCCCACCACTTTAATTTCAGAAAAGGGGTAACAATTTGTTTTTAAATTTCCTTAAAAATCATTTAATCACAAGTTACTTACCATCACCTGAAGAAATACAATGAAAGTATTGAAACATGAAAGATTTTGTGTAGTGATTTAAAAATGTATTTATTATAATAAAAATATTATAATATATATATTATAATATATATATATGTATGTATGTATATGTATGTATGTATCTATTTAGTTGGATTGATGTGAGTTAAATAAATATGTTAGTTCTATTACTGATATTAAGTGCTTTCCAATAAGTACCATGCATATATAATATATATAAAATTGCATATATATATATATATATATATATATATATATATATATATATATATATATATAATAATAAAAAGTTAATTGGTAATCTGTATGATTAATTCCAGTGGGGATATAAATCCCAAGAGCTCAATGTAGTAAACAGAGCAAGTAATAATTAATTGACAAATCAGAGACTTCAGAAAGCTATAGTCTTTCTGAAGTCTCCGATTTGTTAATTATATATATATATATATATATATATATATTGCAGCTGTTGCTGAATGGTGTGCCAATAAATCTAGCTAGAGTTAATTATATTTTGTGATTTATAATGTAGATTATTGTAGAGAAAAGAACTTTGTAAGGGTCATTCCAAATCCCACAATTCAATTGTGCCCTTTTTTGGTCATGTGACTAGTTCTGAATTTCAAGGGAAAGTTAAAGCAAGGGAAAAATCCTTGCTCATAATCCAAATAATAAAAATTTCAATGGTTTAAGAAATAATTTGTCTCTAGCAGTTCTTGACATTGGTTGTTGGCGCACAATGTAATTATGGTCTTAAAATTTCTGTGAATTTGCTGTACATTGGCAAAATTTGTAATTGAAAATTTATTAATTACTTTGTGATATATGTATCCTTTTTGTTTCAGTATTTCACTGTGTTTTTGAAGAAATAAAAAATTATATTAGTTCATTGCATCAGTTGAAATTTTGTGTTCTTACAAAAGAATGGTCAAGAACAGTTATATATATATATTTTCAGTACTTTTATATATTTAGACTATTTTCTCATATATTGAAAGGTTGATTATTTAACTTATAATTTATTTGATGTTTATTTTTAAAACTTGCAAAATATTAATTATTTGAAATGAAGATTTAAGAACAAAAAAATAAAATTATTGATATAAACTTTTGAAGAAAGAATCTTACTTACTTTTAATGTCATCTCCATAGAAAATATCACAGTAAAGCCATAATTAGAATAAGTAAGAAACAACCGCTCCTAAGGAGAAAGAAAATATCTTGCATTAGTAAATCAACTTAATATATTTAACATTTTTTTTAAACTTAAGTCAATTTAGTATCTGTCTATATTTCTGAGATGAGATATTATGTGCACTATTTACATTACTCAGACTATTGTCTCATCTTTGTTGTCATATTTATTACAACGTTTTGGCCATTGTACACTCCAGCCTTCTTCAGGTGGTTGGAATGTCAACCTGAATCCTTTATTTCACTCACTGGGGTAGACTGTTCTAGTTCCACATGCCATGTCTAATGAATGTCATTAGTTAGATCCAGTGACAGGACCCAAAGATTGTGAGTTCTGGTTAAGGCAGTGGAGAACTTGGAGAGTGAATTAAGCAGGAGATAACTGATAACTGACATTCATTAGACATGGCATGTGGAACTAGAACAGTCTACTCCAGTGAGCGAAATAAAGGGTTCAGTTCAACATTCCAACCACCTGAAGAAGGCCAGAACATACAATGAACAAAATGTTGTAATAATTAAGTCAATTTACACTTAGCTCATTTCAAAACTTAGATAAAATTTCATAAATAGTTAATATTTTTTAAGGTTACATTCTAATTTTAAAAACAAATTCCACTTTCATGTCACCAGATTAAAGATTTGATATTACATTAAAAGATTCTTTGTAAGTTAAAATGAAAAAATAACAATAATTCTTAGATGTGTTCATGTAAAAAGTAAAGAAAATAAATTGACTTTTTATTAGAATTTCATTAGTAGAATGTGAGCTCAATATTATTTGTTATTTTTATGCAATCTGGTTTACTTTAAATAATTATTTGTCATCAATTAAAGCAGAGAATAAGTTAAGGAAAAATTATCCAAAATGCATGAATAATGAGTAAGTCATTCTAAATGAATACAAATCATTTCACCTCACGCAAGGCAATAAAAGCACTAACATTTAGTTAGTAAAGAAACTATTAGACCAGAACTTATGGTTACATTTAGCTATTTCAACAGTAAAATGATGTGACCTAGTTGCCAATCATTAGAACAATTACCATGAAAATATTTATAGAAAAAACACATGGAATCCATGTTAAAGTGGTGCAAAAGTGACTGAAACTGAGATGTTAGGTCATGACCGATAACTTTACAGATTCTTCTGTGGATTTTAACAAGAATCTTAAGATTTATAGCAGAAACACCAGACTAAATGTAGCAGTAATACTCAATTCATGGATGAATGGTGGATTTATAAATATGCAGTGAACCAACTTTCCTAGCAGTAAACATAGCAATTGATTCAATATAATCATTTCACTTCATGACAGAAGAAAAAAAATGTAACAGATAACTAGCAGGGTCTGTGTAAATTACACAGATTTGCTAATAAATTTTTTTAATGCTGCATTTTTCAATCCATGACCATTCCCAGATAGTTATAAGAAAGTGACCATTTTCCATAAAATGGAATAAATGTAAATTATATCCATTCTCCCCACATGAAATTATTAGAATTACTTATCTTAATTTTTCTTAATTGAGGCATGTGTAATCAAGATGTATGTGTGCATTAGATATAGACAAAGTCAAAGAAATGCAATGAAATTATATCCATTTATACATGATGATAGAAACATGAAATGCAATCAAGTTGCTCATAAATAAAATATATTCTAGTATTGTCTGATATTATGCCCATATGTATACATGCTAAGAAGACATGAGAACATAAGCAAAAGAATGGAATTCTTAATAGATTTGTAAATATTTAGAGAGAAACAATGGTAGAAGTTAATCCATCAATAGTGCACTGCTAATGGGATACAGAGATAAAACAAGGTTCCTCTGTTCAGGTCTATAAAAGACTCTGTAAATGCAGAATTTAGTAAGCTTGATTGTTCTAGTGCAGCTATAAAGTCATGTAAGCAATATTACAGGACTTTATTACAATCTATGTTTTATGCCCTGGATGTAATCTTTATTGATTTATTTTTTGCAGGCCTTCTCTACTTGTTAAAAAGACTGGGGAGAAATGTGAACTGGACAATAGGCAAACCTATCTATTCCTATTGAGTAAAGAGGAGGAGGATTCAGCAGGTGTATAATATCAGGGCTATTGTACAGCCATTTTGTGAATGGACCATGCACAATCTCTAGTGATTCAGGGCCTCTGGAGTGTCATCAGGTAGTGAGACAGTCACAACCATAGGTGCATCTATAACCTGGATTGTAACTGTACTCTTCATGATGACTGAGAGGCCCCACTAGAGATTGCTGCATGGTCCATTCACAAAATGGCTGTACAATAGCCCTGATATTATACACCTGCTGATAGGATAGCCTCCTACAAAGTTACTCAAAGGTTTGGATTCCTATCTGCAGATAATGCCAAATCCCCCCAAAAATGTTTACCTCCAGCACCCTTATTGACTGGACAAATAATCCAGGAAAGAAGCTACAGGCATGATACACCAAGTGTATGATTCTTGTCTAAATCAGGGCAACAGAACTCCTTGAGTGAGAAACATTCTATTGGTCTGAGACTTCAGGTACCAAGACAAACTTTCTTATATGTGAGGGCTAAAAGACTCACTGGGAAAAGGGGGTTGTGACATAGGTTGAGAGAGGATGCACCAGCATCTCCTAACCCCATTGGGTTTAATATTAACTTAAAGCCAAATTAATGACAGGTGCTACTGTTAGGAGTCTAGGGTTGCTGAGATCTTCTCCATCTAGTACCTGTGTTGTAGATTGTTGGTACTCTCAGATTTTTTAAAAAGCTTAATCAGCAATCGTTGTAAAACTGATGCAGGATATAAAAAGGCTTCAAAGCATAGGCACCACTCCACAGCCCAGATAACTAGGATCAAAATGTAGTAGCAGTTTCAGCCAGTCAACTGTCATTAGCTGCTGCTCTAGCTATCTCCAGCACCAGCCAGCAGCAATAATATGTAATAAACTGTCCTTTTCAACAACTACCAAAATTGTCCTTTTCAGGACAACACTCTTCTCATCCTCTACATTGTTGTTGTTGTTTTCTGTCATTCATTATCTGTTTGCAGACCAATATACCACCCACAACATCTGCATTACAGGAGGTTAATTAAAGGAATAACTATGGCATTAACTTAAAATATCCCTTATCAGAATAAAGGTGAGAGAGGAATTAAGATTGGCCTTGTTTATTTTGCAGGATAATAAATTGTACATCAGAAAAATTACTAAAACTATTTGAGAAGTCAAAATTGTTTACTACTTACTGCACTGTTAGGTGCTATACTTGGTCTTTCCATAGCTAATGTAATACAGTTTAAAGCAATGAAGAACAAGACAGAGTAATCAAACCAACGTCTTGAAATCATATGATGGCATAATCTTCTTAACCTGGAACAAAATTTAAAAAAAAAAACACATCAAACAAGAATTTATGACAAAAAGAATTCAATACAAATTAGAAAATCAAAATGGACATCAGTTTATTTTAGGATCAAATGATTGCTATAACCAAATAATAACGTTTAATAAGAAACATTTGGTCCTATATCCTGATATTGTTATAAAATTATATCTGAGAATTCCTAAAATTGTCTCCTGGCAAACTATTTTGTTTAAAAGTCATTTTTATGTTATTGTAAAAGGTAAAGTACCAGCTTTAATTTAAATGTATGTATTTGCTGTTAAAAAGTTTTCTTTAACCTTTAGCACTCTGCATTATTAATATTATTTCCCTTTCTTCTGCATTCTTTTTCAAGGTCCCTCAACTGCAGCATCCTTATTGTTAATTTTACTCAAAATTGTTTTCTGTTTCCGTAGCAGGATATGACAACACAACTTTGAAATTCAAATTCAGGTATCAGAGTCACCTTCAGTGGCAGGATAAACGTTTTTGTACAGCAAATGAAGTCACATCCAAAGTGATAAAGTTTAATAAAAACGTGGTATCCATGTTGTAAACTATAATTAGTTAAAAGTATTCACTACTATTTCTCTAGTAGTTTCATCTTCAAGGTTAGGATTAGTTTAGCCTCCAGCTGTATCAACTGCTATTTATATGGTAGAGATTTGCATAAGAATACAAAATTCGCTTTCTTTGAAGTTTGAAAAAAAATAAACTCTAATTGATAAACTTAAAATAACAAGAGATTAATGCAAACAATAATTCTTTTTGGTTTGCAGGTGAACTAAACTTAGACTTGACTATGAACCATCATGCCTTTCTGCTTTTAGAGAGTAGCAGTAGATGCTACAATGTTGTTTGTATAGAATGTTACATCTGAACCCTTTGAATGAACAAAAGTAATAATAATAATAAAACAGGTAGTATTACTTCTTTCTTCTCATGCTATGTTCCTTCAGGTGATCATGTTTTTTTTCTTTAATATTTATGAATGCCATGACTGTTTGGTAATGGTGTGTTCTTTTGTTGCTTTCTCCAGTTTTGAATTCAGTGTAGTAGTCTTTTTTCCTAAAGTTACTACCATTCAAGGTAAGATAGTCCAATCTACCCAACTATTTAACCATAACAATGTCACTATCAGATCAAAATGTAAAGTAAGCAGTAAGAGAAGAAAAATAGGTTTGTAAATAATTGCCATATTTTTAGTTCTACTTTCAGTTTTATAACAAAAAGTACATTAATGTCCATACAATATTTGTTTAAATCCATAAATAGATTAAAAAAAATAAGTTTGGACATGAATATTGAGTTATAGTCTGTAGGACTTAAACTATAAGATTAAGAGAAAAGTCACTTTAAATTAAATTGTAATACTTCATTTAGTAGCACAGGTAAAGAAAGAAATTTAACTTACAGAAAGCTGTTGATGTAATAAACAAAATGCTTATTCCTGTTATAGAAAGATTTCACTAGTAGCAATAGCAGCTGACTGTTGTATTTTCAAAATGAGGTAAGTACATATGTATATAATAAATTAATACAGTATTGTTAAATTTTAGCATAAAAAATTATTCTTTCTCAAAAAAGGAAACACTGAGCCCAAAGGCATAAGTTAAAGTATTTATATTTTATAATTATGTATATATGAGGTGTGTTGAGAAGCTCTTAGTTCAACTAAAAAGGTATTTAAAAAACAGTCTGATGCTTTGTCAGACTTTGGGAAGTAGATTGAGTGAAGAATTTTTCAGCACCTCCTCCCGGAACTTAGAAATATTGTCAGAAGTGAAGAAAGAATCAATATAAAATAAATCAAACAAAAATCTTTTTGTGGTTTTTAACCAAACCTGCATGTATATATATTTTTACATTTTTAAAGTAATTTTACTTAGAATTATGGGAAAGCAAACAAAGATTTGTATAATATATTCTAAAAGTAAATGATGTTAGAATGTAAAAAATAAGAATTATTACCTATTTGAAGGTGAAAGGATATAGAGAGCATATTCTTCTCTTTCCTTGAAACAGCCTTTTGGTTCAGGACACCATGAGCAGACACAATTCTGAAAGTAAAATTCAAATGAAACAATGTAATTTCTCATATAAATTAGTTTCTCTTTCCATACTCACCTAAAGTATTAAACATAATACCTTTGATGACCAATATACTGAGTGTGTCAAATTTTTTCACCCTTGTTAATGTCTATATTTGCATTTCACTATTCATTGGGAACAATGCTTTGTAGGGAAATCAAACTGCTTTCGGGCAATAAATAAATATTATTGTCAGGGGTATTTTCTTTCCTCCAGGGAAAATAACTGACTTTTTCATAGAATGTCCAAATTCAGTATATAAAAAAATATTTGCTTCAAGGTTAGAAAAAGCTCAATGCTGTATTTATATATTCCGCTTAAAAATCTTATTTTAAAAGATGGTAAATTAAATAATATCTTAAAGTAAGAATTATTTTCTTAATAAAGACTGAAGTTATATTTTTTTAAAATTCTTTTTTATTTTTTAAAAAATCCCAGAATCTATAAAATTATTTGCTCTATTGACTACTTCTCTTATCTTCTGGATTATATATATATATATATATATATATGTGTGTGTGTGTGTAGGAAGAAGAATTATAAGAAATCTACTAACCATTTTATTTGAATGATTTTCTACAAATTCATCCATTAATTTAGTGATACCATTTAACAATATAAACATTACCATAGTCAAGCTAAAGTGTTACTTTTGAAGACTACAAGCACAGGAATAATTTCGCCATTTTCTTGTTTTATATAAGTGGACATTGAAGTCAAGATGTTGACTTCAATGTCCTCTTTATATTTGTATACTCTCTATCCCTGATATTGAACACTTTAACCCATACATATAGCATATCTTAAATAAATAAATATATATATATATATATATATATATATATATATATATATATATATAAGTACATGACACATTGCTTCATAAAATGAAAAAAATCAGTTTATCACACTGAAGGACTATAAATTTGAGTTGACAGATTTTGGGTTTTATGTATTTAATTACAATCTAGTCTGTTAGTCTCTAAACAATTTTTTATGCTATCGGACTTTTTAAGAATTATTTCTGTTTACAGAAATTTAACTATAAACAGATATATAAATATCTAAGAATTTTCACTAAGGGCTTATCTCAAAATAACTTCTTTTATTGTAATTCTAGGCAAAAGATTTTTCTAGTAAAACAAATTTAAATGTCTGCTTATTCTAAGGTGATTGGGTAAAAAATTCAGAGAAAAATTTCTTAGTATTACCTTTTATCTACTTTATTTTCCTACAATAAACTGTTCAAAAACTCTTAAATATGTAAACGTTTTAATTCTCAGTGAGTGTTGTATCTTATTTAGATATTTTTGTAGTCATTGTATTTAAGTCTCTTGGGCATGCACAATTCTTGAAATCTTGAAAATATAATTTACAAAATTGGTAAAAAATTCATATAAACATTGAAAAATTCATTTTGAAAATTGAAATATCTATTCTTTTCAATTTTAAAAACTGAAGTTTAAAAATCATTTGTTGAACAGTAAAAGTTATAAACAAAAACAATTTAAAATTTGCATAACTTCTAGTAGAATTTATTCATTTTGTTGCTTCTTGTTCTGTAAATGTTTTCTTTAATGCTAAAGTTTAATGAAATTAATATTATTTTCAATTTTAATTTTAGCCAATTTATATGTTCTTAAACTTTCTTCAGAAAATGTATAAAAGCCAATCTGAGTAAAAATATTTGTCTTGAAATTAATATTATTGTTTTGTATAAATATCAGTTCAGATTTCAAGTTTCATTTAGTTTTTTGCATAAATATCTCTATATAAAATAGTAAAACAACTGGATAATATGTTTCTCTATCAAATATCAAAACAGCAGAAAATTAAATGTATTTTTGAATGTTTATGGTTATATCATTTTTTATGAATTTTTCAGTTTAATAAAATATCTTTTAACTCTAATATTATGATTACTTTGAAAATGCTTAACACTCTAAGAATTAAAATATAGATATGGCAAAGAGCCTATAAAATTCTGATGTCATAGCAATGGTATATCTCTATTTCAACAAGCACATTCCACAGATGTCCAGAAAAGTGTTTGGCTGCATAGAATTTAGTGAAATATGCAACATAGGGTTGGGTTTACATCTGGTTAGTGCAGGAGTCAATAGAAATCAGCTGAAACTTCTTGGAACCAGTTTTATTTCATGTGCATTATGTGGTGGGGTGTTATTTTGCTGTAATAAACCATCACTACCAGGAAACCTAGTGAGCATAAAAAGGTGAAAATGACATGTAGCAAGATCTATGTAGGCCACACTGATCAAGAAAGACTCACTCATGGTTCTTGTAATCACCAATGAACGCCTAAAGCCACTAGAGAGTCACAAACTGGTTGCACAACACACTGCTGATAGGCTGAATCCATAGCCTCATGCAGTCTCTTCTTCACATGTAATTCCAATGTATGCCTGAAAGAACTGGAAATATAACTGACCAATAGCAAATGTTCTCTGGCCCAGGTCAGGTGCAGTAATTGATATCATGCTACCATTCTTGGTCATTGACCAACAAGCGTACCTATGTACCTATGTACAGTATATTGACTAATGATTCAAGGGTCACTGTCATTGAATTAGGATATGATTTAATGAAAAGTTCCTCTTTATTGAGGGGTTACTATCCTTTTCAGTCACCAGCGGTCTCATTCTTGCATCACCTGTGGATTTCTGCAGTTTTTATGTACCACTGGTGTTTTTCTTGATTTCATATGTTCCTAGTTTACTCTTGCTACAGGTGCAAGAGAAATATTTAGAACAGAGACATTGTGCTCTAATATTCTGTGGTGAAATGGTCCCATCCTATGACTACCACAGTTACACCATCTCTTTACCCATGAAATTGCACATATATCATCTAGCTGAGATCATTATTACAAGTCGGTGAGGTTTAAAATATTTGGTGTAATGCTGAGTATTTCTGGAAGATATTATTTTAAAGGTCTTTGTAATTATAGTATTCACTATCAATCAACCTAGTCTCCTTAATTTTATCCAGCAGCATTAAAATTTAAAACTTTAGCATGAAAGGGAAGTTTCATACAGCAGATAGAACTTTTATTTTTTCATAAAATTCAATATCCCTACAAACCTGTTCAAAATTTAATCTGATAAGAAATTTTCAAATGGAGAAATTTTTCAGATTTTATTCAAAACAGATTTTCTTTTTGCAGGGCATTTTTGCACTTATTTTTAAGGTATTTTTAGGAGCATGTTTTTATATCAACTCTTTCAAATTAGGGAACCATTTTTTGCAGCCATATCCTTAGAGGCAAGAAGAATTCTATCTACTTTTATGCTAAACCTTGCATGCTCTAAAGATAAATTCTAAACTGAACTAAAGGACACAGAAATGACTAAACCATGAACATTAAGTTTCTGGAAGTATTCTACATATGAAATTTCCCAAAGGAAAAACAAAGCCATATAATTTTTTTTTCAGTGAAAAATGATTCTGTTGTGATTTCTGTAAATTTATCAAACAAAGCTGAAATTATTAAATCAATATTAATTTATTCTAATATATTTATTAATTTTTATAGCAAGCATAAAAACTGTTTTTGTATCTTTGTGCTTTATTTTGGGACTTTTATGATTACTGATTGAGAGATATAAATTTATTTGATAATAAATATTATTGTTACTTTACAATGCTTTCAGATTTAAGGATACATTTATAAAATACTTTATTTTATTGTTGAGAATCTATTTTGAGATCAAAATTTGAAGACTACAAAAAAGAAACATTTTTGGATACAAAATAAATAACAATAGGGAAACAGTTTTTTTTGAAATGTCTTAAATTTGTTACGTATCACCGCACCTCAAATATAAAAAGCATACTTATAACCTAATAAAAGGTATAACATACTTATAACCTAATAAAAGGTATAACAATAAAACTTGTGTTTAACATGTTAACAAAAGGAATAGTTTGTTGGTTTCATTAAGAATAAAATTGAAAACTTGCATAAGCAGTTAGAAGGTAGAAATGAGAAAATGTGAGGTGAGGGTGCAGTGTAAAAGTCATTAGATGCAGAAAAATTGGTGAATTTAAAAATAAGGAATGGTAAATTGCAGGGTAAACTGACAAATCTATTGGGTTCTACTGTCAGAAATTTTAGGGCTGTGACGACAAGACCAATTGCTAGATTGAATGTCGACACCTGTTCCTTTGTGGCTACAATCTAGATTTTAGATTGCTTTATAAGATCGTAGTGTTAAAGATGATATTTAAATATATTCTTACGTAGTATATTTGGATGTGCAAACAATTATGAATATGATGAATAAATGTTGTATACTTATCATATAAAATGAGTCCTAGTTGGTTTTGCTGTCTTATTTAAACTGATTTTTTGAGGAACTGGTGGACTAATGATCTATTCCTTCATAATTAAATATTTCATTAAAAATGCATAAATAAATTATTAGATATTTATTAATAGCATATTTTAATAAAATATTAATGTTCTTGTAAATGCAGCAGAAGTTTAATTAATCGTCACAGCCCTGAATAACAAATGGCTACAATTGAAAAAAAAACATGCAAAGAATAATTGCATATGAGCGCATGGTAAATGAACTAAGCCTCTTCAATAACTTCATTTCATGTAGTCCCATCTCTACTAATTTCAAATAAAATAATCATTAGTAAAGATTTTAATAGACACCCCAGTAAAACACTGAAAAAGAGGTAAAAATTGTGTGTTTGCGTGCATGTGTGTTTGTATCTGTGGAAAAAAATAAACTCAATAACAGGTAGCAACCAGTGAAATATTTTGAATCCATTTGCCAGTTGCTCATGTGCTATTCAGAATATTTAATATGCTTATATAAAAATATATGCAAAAAATGATTTAAGAAAAAAACAAACATTTAAAAAGTGAGAGGATATCATTCATAAAACATTTGATAGCATCTTCGCAAAAATGGCTGATAGCTTCTTGAGAAGAAAT